GCGCTGCTGGCGGTGAGGGGCAGGGGGAGGGGGGAGGGGGGAGGAGGGAAGGGGAGGAGGGGGGAAGGGGAGGAGGGAAGGGGGGAAGGGGAGGAGGGGAGGGGAGGAGGTAAGGGGAGGAGGGAAGGGGAGGTGGGAAGGGGAGGAGGGAAGGGGAGGAGGGAAGGGGAGGAGGGAAGGGGAGGAGGGAAGGGGAGGAGGGAAGGGGAGGAGGGAAGGGAAGGAGGGGGAGGAGGGAAGGGGGAAACCTTGTGGCGTGGTAGAGGCAGGGGGAAAAGAGGGAGAGAGGGTTTTTTTTCTCGCACCCCCCGCACGCAACTGCAGGCTGTGTCCTATCGGCCTTCTCAACCCGCCGTCCAAATCCTTTCCTCCTCCTCCTGCGCATGCGTCACTGCTGTACGGCAGGCGTACAACATCTGCCCCGACGATCCCGCTGTCTGTCATGAGCTCGGCGTCCTGATGTACAAGTGCGGTCAAACGGCGGCGGCGGCCATGTGGCTGGACAGGGCGCTACAGCTGCTGCCTGGCGGTCGGCCTACCGTACGTGAGTGTACTGTGCCGTACACGTGCGCGCCTAAACTAGACATAGACGACACCTTACAGGGAGGTGTGCTTGTTGCAATGTGCGCTCTTCCCACCCTACACGGCTATGATGTGCCATTCCGGTGCTTACTGGTGCGAACACGTCAGTGACCCGCTGGTTCCATCCATACAGCCAACTCCCTCCATATATACATACATACCGTTGGATGCCGGTGGTGGGTGCGGAACCTGAGCGATCCAGCTAGATGAGGGCGTCCCGAAATACCGGGGAAGGCAGGGTTTCGCCGGGTAGCGGCTACGGGTGAAGATATGCCCCCCTGTCCCACACATACATACATACTTACTTTCTTACTTACTTACTTACTTTCTTACTTACTTACTTACTTACTTACTTACTTACTTACTTACTTACTTACTTACTTACTTACTTACTTACTTACTTACAGTTCACACCCGCAAATATACTAACACCTAGCAACTCCCAACCCACCCTCCCAACCGCAACGACAGACTGGGAGGCCACACTGGTAGCTCTGGGGCACTGCATGCGGAAGCTGTGTCGCTTCCCGGCCGCGGCGGAGTGCTACTCGGCCGCCCTGGCCCTGGCCCCCGCCTCCCCCGGCACCCTGGCGGCCCTGGGCTACGTGGCCCAGTTGGCGGGTGACCCACGGGTCGCTGTGGAGCATTACCATGCGGCCCTGGCGCTGCGGCCGGATGACCCCTTCACCACAGACATGTTGAGACTGGCGCTGCAGGTATACGGTGGATAGAGGGACTGGAAGGGCGGGAATGTCGAGTGATGCTCTTGCCCTAAACTTGAGATTGCCGTACCGTGTGTGTGTTTACCTTGCTGTTGCCATGGGTGTGATTGACATGATAACCCCCAGCACATATTTCAGTTTGAATGACTTAGTTGACTGTTATCGAATAGTTGGAGCCAGCCGACCGCCACCGTGTTGTGCCGGTCCCGGGAAATAATGCACACTGTCATTTACGTGTTGGTGTTGGGTCCTGATGCCTTACGCCGGTAATAACGCCGCTAACAGAGGACTGCAGAGGACAGGACTTTGCTACTACTCCGTAACTGCCAGTACGTGCTGCCGCTACCGAGTATGTACGTGCGTATGTATGTGTGTATGTGTGTATGTGTGTATACATATGTATATTTATGTGTGTATGTGTGTGTTTTTGCAGGAGTATGCAGACGCTGCAGCAGCAGAGGAAGCAGCAGCGGCGGCGGCGGCCGCCGATGCCGCTAGCCCGGCGGTGACGACGCCAGGGGCGGCCGCCGCCGCCGCCGGCGGCGGTGGTAGTGCCGGCGGCGCCGCTGTGACTGCACCAGGTGGCATCGGTTTGGCCGCCCTGGGTTAACCGTACAGGGTTGTTGGTTGGGTTGTTGGTTGGGTTGTTGGTTGGGTTGGTTGGGAGGGGCATGTCATCCGAGAGGGGGGACGGGGTCTGGGGTTCAGGGTGTGTGAATGGTGGCGGTCCAAGTCCTGGCAAAGGGTGATAGCGCCGGCACACCTCATTTCCTCCCTCAGGGGACCCCTCCGCAGCAACCCCGCTTCCTAATGTATGGACCTTCCAGTGCAGTGCAGTGCAGTGCAGTGCAGTGCAGCGGTCTAGTGCGGATAGTGCACCTTGGTGGGGGTGTACGGGTCCAGTTGTTTTGAGACACGGTGTATTACGGTACGGCATGACAGGACAGGGCCCCGGACATTGCTTTCTGGAGCAGGTTGAGGGCCCTCGGGACGACGAGGCGGGAAAACGGGTCTTGAGCTCGAGAGAGGACAACGTTTGATTGGCTCTGATAATCCCGGACTTGCAAGAGCAGCTTGCACAATCAACACACTGCTATCGGTTGCAAAATTCCGTATCGCTTCCGTGCGATGGTAACAACGGGTTGACCGTTAAGTGCCGCGTCGCACGAGTGTCCGGCTTCAGGAGGGACAGGTGCTGCATGTACAGCAGTAGTACGGCACGCACTGGATTAGGGCCTTCGGGGATTTGGGCTTGCCGTATTGGTGGTGGTGGCGGTGGTGGTGGTGGCGGTGGTGGTAGAGGTATCACAGGGACACAGGACACCATCCATGGGTTGAGTACCCTAGAGCGGCTAGAGCGGCTAGAGCGGCCTGCAAGGTGGTCTGTTCTGTAACTCTCTACACGTGTTTAGGGGTGTCTTGGGTGGCATTCGCCCTGAGGGGGCTCCTGTAACCCCCCCCACCGCACCCGGCGGACAGGCTGGGGTCACCGGCCTCACCTGCTCCGGCCCCTCCGGCCTGGGTGCGCCGCCACATGGCAGGCGACCTCACCCTGGCTGAGAGAGACGCTATCCGAGCGACGTCTTCCCCTCGTCCCATTACCCTCAGTTTCCTTCCCCCCAGGCCGATAGCCAGCCCCCCTTTTTGTTGAGCCCGACTCTCGGCCCCGAAGCAGAGGACCGCCAGGACCATTCCAGACTGGCCATGTTTGTCGGTCCTTCACGACAATCACAATTAACTGTAGCCCTTCCGTATGCCACATGAGCGCAGTTTGCGATTGTTATGGTGGACGCCGATTAGGTTGTGTGCAGCACACCAAGGATTGCCTCCTGCACAAACTGTGGGCCTCATCCAAGCAGAACTCGGCCAGACCCGCGCTATAACTTCACTGGACATAGCACCTCAGTTAGAACGCTAAGACCCGAAGGATCAGGCTGCGGTCATGAGGTCAGGAATCCCCATTACACAGAACTGACAAACGAGCCTGTTCGCTCGTTGGTTGATTGTAAGGAAAGGGCGGCCAGTGGGCACCTGCACCCGCTGCGGTGTTCCAGCGGGCGGTCCCAGGCCGCAAAAGCAGCTAGACGGGCCCAAAAAAAATCAGGAATGACCACGTCTTGGCCAAGCAAGCAGCAGAGGAGGTGCGGCGGCCTGTGGCAAGGAACAGGGTGGTGGCCAAGGGGAAGGGCACTGCCAAGGGGAAGAAGTGAGGTGTAAAACATGATTTCGTCATGATGACTTGGTATGCACCGGCAGTTGTTGATTGGCATTACGTGTCAGCTTCAGCTCACAGATTTTATGCCTGTTCGATGTTGCTTTCTGGGATCATGGTCACTTTTGCCCGGACGATCCCGGACTTGCAAAACAGTTTACACAAACAACACACTGCTAAGGGCTGCACATTTCCGTATCGCTTCCGCGACTGCAACGATGAGATAGAGAAACAATCTTGCGTGTTCGGTTAAAAGTGCTTGGGCAGCTCTGAAATCATGTTCAGCGCAATCAACCAGCTCACTTGTGCTGTAACGCATGGAGTCCAACCTCATGCAGTCTCGGAGCCGGTTGACTCGTTGGTCGTTTCCATGGTTGGTCAGAAAGGGGTTTGTCACTTGTCACTTGTGTGCATACAGATCGACCCAGCCGACATGAGATCGGAGGTGACGCCATCGATGAGCATACCTCTCGTTTCCAGTCGAAGGAAAGTAAGACCTTCGCATCCCCGCCCTCAAGGGAAACGCACGAAAGCCTCACCTGTATGATGTGTGAAACAGGGGGGTGTATCTTCGCCCGTGGCAGCTACCCTGCGAAACCCTGCCTTCCCCGGTATTTCGGGGCACCCTCATCCAGTCACCCTAGTCAGCTTCTCAGTGGATCGCTCAGGTTCCGCACCCACCACCAGCATCCAACGGAATCTGCCGGGTCGACAGCGGCCCAACTCCATCCTCCTGGGCCTCCTGGCCTCCTCCTGGCCGGCTGGCAGGTTAACTTTATCCCAGGTCACCACCGTCCATCAACTAGGGGCGCAATGCCTTCCACCATCGGAAGGACTTTTGACCCTAATGGGTATCGATTCCGGGATCTCCCGGGGGCTATGGTCGCGCCTTACCAGTAGTACCAAACCCTGTGTCTGTATCGCAATCTATCTGCCAGATTTCCGTATCATAAAAATACCTTTGCCATAGCATCCTTATGATAACCAACTTGTCTTGTACTCAATACGTATGCCGGATCCCTTTTTCCCAGCCACTCGCTCTCGGTCGTGGCCCGCTATGGCTGAGTGAGGCGTATTGCCCCCAGGTCCCCGCACTAGCTGCTGCTGTGGGCATCGCTGCTGAAGTCCCAAACTTCAGCAATCAATCACCGCGTAAGTAACTAAACTGAGTTGACGTGGGGAGGGTGGTATCACGGGGATCCGCGTGTCATGCATGGCTAGCCAACATGCGGTGGCTTTTGGGCGCGTTGGTCTCCGCCTCTGGAGTTGGTGATGACAGCTGGTGCTGGGCGTCACGGCTGTGCAGCTGCGCGGCCGGGCGGATAGGAGGTGACGGGGCGTCGGCATGGCTCTTGTGAAGAGCTCCTGTCACGAGGTATGTACGTCATTTTCAGTTGTGTTGTGATACCCGTGTATCGGGACAGATTGACAGATTGCCGGGACAGGGTGCCAATAGAAGCTTCACTCCGAATGCAGGATGAGACTTGACGGGTCCCGCTCGCTTCCTTCATCTCCATCCAGATGAACGCGCAACGCTGAGCTCGCATGTCCTGTGGCGGGCAGGATGAACCGAGTTCATTGCCATCGTCTCCGTACCGTCCTGGTCGCATCCTTCACGATTGAAGTCATGTACGATTGTTGTCAGAAAATAGGAACTGTAAGTAACCTTTTGCGGAATATGGGGTCTTATCTGTTGCCTGGCTAGGGCCGGGAAGGGGAGCTCGTGCACATCCACATCAGCACACATATGCATGTGCCTTTGCTTTGACAGAATGGCTTTCAGGCATGCACGGTGTTGTTCCTGGGTGTGCTGAACCACGTTTTCCCTTAGTATCTTTAGCTTACAAAGCGTTTTCCCCTTTCCCTTCTGCCTGTCTGCCTGCTGGTGCGTCCTTCTGGTGGTCGAGACTAGACTGTGTATGGTTGCTTGAGGGTACGTCGGTCGTCACGCCTGGGCTGGGTATCACTGTAGTTGCAAGGAGCGTGGCGTTGCAGCCGGCACGGTACGGCGTTGTCGGCGTCGTTGCCGGCTCAGGGCGTTACTGCCTGCGTGGGCCGTCGCTGCCGGCGCGGGGCGCCCCTTCTGGTGGCTGGGGAGAGGTGGAATCGGCAGAAGAGGGCTGGCCTGTGTCCGCCGGTTGAGGCTGAGTGACCTTCGAATCCCGCAGGAAAGCTGCCAAAATGGCCTTCAAATCCCGTAGATAAGCTGCCAGACAAAAAGGGGCCATGTGCCTCGCGGGTATCCAGATGTGCAGAGCGGGGAGGAAGCAGAGGTAGGAAGCCCGAGGTGCACGGCATGGGAGGAGCACTTTGGTAAAGGCACGAAAAATGTTATGTTATTGGTAACTGCACGGGCTCCCGACCTGCACTGGCGGCGTTTGTGGGGTTGAATCCCGCAAGGACCGTGGCACACATTCTCGTCGCGTCTAGAAACTTAGTCTAGAAAACCTGGAAGTCGGGTTGGGGATGGGGATGGGGAACGCGGCGGGCTTTTCTCGAGGAGAGGAGGGGGCGGCATGGCAGGAGGAGGATGAACTCAACGATGTCCAGGACGGCCGGGTTAGGAAGCTCAATTGAAGTGCGGTTGCGTAGCGAGGGCAAGTCATGACCTCGCTCCGCCCAAGCCACTCGCCATACAAACGGACATTGGACTACTTGTATCCTAGGTTTTATGGCACGCTATCCAGTTGGTTAAGCCCAGTAATTCGAAGGCATGCCATTTATTCCTTCACTGCTAGGCTGGATTATCTGATGCCGACATCGCTATTGCATACATAAGCTGTAAGTAATTCTTTGCAATGGTAACATCAATTCTAATATGAATTGTCGATCTACGTTTGTCCTGAGGAATGAGAGACCGGTATCATGACAAATGCAAGTTGGGCCGAGCACAGCTTCTTCTCGTTTGTTAAGCGTAGCTGCTAGCTGGTGTAAAGTAGATATTGACTGTGATGTTGGATGGCGGATAACGCGCTGGCGGAGAAGTTGGTGGACCGCTCCAGGAGGCTTCACGTCTGAACCGGATGTCGCGGCAGGTGTTCGCGAGGGGTGCAACACTGGCGACAGAAAGTTTTTGCTCTGTTTGGGGCTGTTATCTCAAGACCAGTGCTGTTTGTAGACGCGAAGCCAAAATGAATGTAACGTGAACACATTACGTGAAATGGCGTCCAAGGAGATTTTAAAGCAGCTTAGGTGAGAGTCGTCTGTCACGATGCCTCTGTCAAGTTGTCATCTACTCGCAGTCAGTGCTCAGTTGCACCACGCGTCCTCCATCCTCAGGCGAACCGTTCTAGACGAGGTATTAACGAAATTCGAGAATCTGCAGGATGGTATCGGCAAGCGACGCAAGGCAGAGACGTGGAGCGCGTACTTCGAGCGCCTCCGCATAGCGCGCGACATATCCTGGTTTAGAGAGAAGGGGCTGAAGATGTCGACCGTTAATATCGTCGCGCGCTCAACTGCGCCGTTGGATGAGCTTATAAAGGCGCAGGGGGACGTTCAGGAGTGAGTTGCGACGCTTAATCGGTCTCACCTTCGGGTTGCAATATCTGAGCCTGCGAAGGGTTTAAGTTAGTAAGTTAGGGTGTATTTCCAGTGCGGATTAACGTCGCGGATTAACCCTCTGTCCTCCATCGATACTTGCTCAAACGGCTGGCAGACTTACCTCGCCTTTCCAACCTTTGGTTCCCTTTTGGAACGAAGCTATGTGGTAAGCTCGTACCAAGGACTTCCGTGCCCTAATCCCTGGCCTTGATACGCACTGGAAATACACCCTTAGTAAGGGATTTAACTTGTATACCGCTGGCTTGGTTGGGGGGACCGAAGGCTTGGCACAACTTTGAGCAAGGGCCCGCAGGCACCGCTGGATTACATCATTGTCACAAGCTCATTTGCTGGATGTGTTGCACCCTTGCACCTCTTCCCGTGTGCGCCATTTGTCGCCAGCTCCTACAATCCAGTGAAGCAAGAGCAGCCGCAGCAGAAGCCACAGAAGCAGCTGGCCCCGCAGCCCCCGCAGCGCAGGAGGCCACCAATGTCGCCAGCACGAGCACCACCCGCATCTTCGAAGGCACCGCCAACCCCGTCACCTTCGTCAAAGGCGAGAACAACATCGCCAGCACCAGCACCATCGCCGCCAGCAGCCGCCAAGTCGACCCCACCACAGCCCACACAGCCGTTATCCTCGCAGCCCCGCACTGTTGGGCGATAGCTGATAGCTGCTGGGCGATATCCCTCAAACAGGCCGTACGGCACGGCACGGTAAAGACCGCATCTGGACCACCCCTTATGGCTACAGTCCCTGGTCGTGATTGCTGTCACCAGCTGACTTGTCAAAGGATCTACCTCCGTAGTGTAATCCCTTGTATCTGTCGTTTTTGCCCATCACCTCTTGAGTTGAGTTGGCTTGGAATGATTGGCCACATGCAACCTGTGACCTTCCTGAGCCTGCTGGGGGTGTAGAGCTCCGTCATACAGACAGCCCAGATGCACCTTTTTAATTTCCTCTGAGCTTTGTAATAATTGGTGTCGCGCAAAAGTGGTAAAGCGATACATTTCACAACCGCGCCGCGGAGAGCGCCTGTAAAGCCACGGGCTGGTCCAGGTAGTGCTGTAACCTTGGGGGAAAGCAAGGGGGGAGGCTGAAAGCGCTTGGGGTTGGGTTTGGGGTGCGACTGCGTGCGACGTTTGGGGCTTTGGGATTTGTTAATGCTATGCGTTGGCGGCATGGCAGGGAAAAGTGGGTGGAAGCCTCGTCGGGCGTATGCCAGTGGTCGGTTGGTTACGTAGGCGGTGAGGAGTGCGGAGCTTACTCGGTGCTGGGGGGCTTCCCGAGTTGCGGGTCCACCGCTGGCTCTGTGGTTGGCAAACCTCAACAATTCACCACCGCCGGCCAACACCAATGTTTACGTACATAGGTACATACATACAATTTAAATACATATATCTTTCTATACAGCGCTATACATATACATAAACATTACCCCAGTTTTACTCAGCGTAAAAGTGGCAACACAATTTATGCAACGATTGACAACTCTTTCACGGGGAGGAAGCACCCACCCAATACCCCATACCTACGTACACATATATAACTGTCGTTGGCTAACGGAGTATTATTTTAGCTTATCTCAAATTTTAAATTGGTCCTGTGTGCGGCCGCCCTGACGGAACCGTTGCGGGGGAACACATGTTGCTGGCCTAGGGTCAGTACAAGTGTACAACATATACGATACGATGCGATCCCTCAGCCCCCCGATACCAACTTGTAACGGCCCCCCAAAGGTGATGTTGAGGTCCAGGGTTTCTCCAGCAGCTGGCCGAGGGAGGGGCGGTCAAAATGGAGTTTGGCGCCGTGCGAATAACGCCGTGCGCATAACCGTAAAACTGCAAGTGCATTGGCACAGGCGAGGTATGATTTCCTGTGTAAGTGAGCTGTCAATCTGTAGCGCTCTGGAGCATGCAGAGCTGGTATGCCAGTTATTGCGAGGTCACAGGAAAGGATGGAAAGCAAGGAAAGCACTCAGGCTCATTCAGGAATGGATGAGCTCATTCAGGTTTGGGAAAGAGCTTGTGGCGCAGCTTGCCACTGTTGTAAGGATATGTATTGCATGCAGGTGCATTTTGTTAATATGGAGAGCGTTTCATGTCCAGCAGTTTGGCACCTGCCGGTCTGCTGGACATGCCGGCAGCTACGATGTACGGCATCTCAAACGGACAACGTTCATAATCAGTTGTGCTTCCACACCTGAAGAATGGTTTACTCGTGCTTTCCATGCGAAATTGCGTCGATCAGGTCACTCAGTGCTTCATGTGGCGTGTGGTGCAAATTTCGATAAGTTTCAATTGCACGTTGGACGTGACGCAGCCGACGCAGCACTATCCCGAATGTTATGCGTGCGATTACGTTTATTAGGCGACTGACCGTGCTTAGTTTCTTTGGCAAACAGCTGGGTGTTGCACACGGACAAACAGCCCAGCCTTTACTGGTATTTGCCAAACCTTATAGGAGACAGCTATCCAAATTATATCACTGCTCATTTTTGCATCTGGAGATTAAGATGGCCCATGCGTGCTATTCCAACTGTGGTCATCCTTGTTTAAGTCATACTTCTAGAAGTCAGGGCCGGAAGTCTGCAGCTGTCAGGGCATCGCTGCATCGCAGTTCTAGCCCTCAAGCGTTGGTTTCATTTCATCGACTAGGAATGGTGTTAGCTGATGGAAGACCCTTGCTTTCGCCCGTTATGCCATCGTGGCCTTGGCGCTGTCCAGTCCACCGAAGCCCAGGCAGCCTGCTCATCCATCGCAAAGTATCCTCAGCAGCCGCACCAACCTTACTGACGGCCGCTTCGGCTGCGTCAATAACAACAACGCTTGCCGCGAGGACAAGGCGACCATCTGGACCCCCTGATAATCCCGGGCCGAGCAGCAGGGCCTTAGCCAGCACCCGCAGCGTTTATGCCTCCCGATCAAGAGCAAGTACCAGTACCGGCCTAAGACCGGCAGGGGCGGGCGGAGCCGGTACTACCATGGCATCCGGAACAAGCATTAAAGCCAATGCACCTGCCAGTCCCCCCTTCACGTATTCAACCAGTTCAACAGCGGTGGCAACGCAGCCGCCTACGAACCGGTTTGGCACCAGCGCCAGCACCAACGGCTTTTCAACACCTTCGGCTCCTCCGGCATCATCTGGGGCAGGGGCCGGCGTGAGCTCCCGCTCCTCTCCAGCTCTGCGACCCACATCGCAGTTTCACACGTCAGGGAGGCGACAGCCGCAGCCGCAGCAGCCGCTCCAAAAAGCGACACCGCAACAACAACTACAACCCGCCCCAAATCGGGACGATTCCGACATCGACATCCCTGAGTTTATGGAGGTACGTACTACACTGTACGATATTACGGCAGCCCGTATGAATACGGTACGAACCCTGTGCGAACAACGGAATCCTGGAAGCCTGGATGCGGCCGGAGGGCCGAGGGCAGGCCTTGTGTCTCTGTGACGTGACGTGCTTCGGAGTTGTGACGAGGCGGTTTGGCGCGGAGAATGAGGTGGCGCAGCCATAGCTCCATTAAATATACGATGGTGTGTGCGTCTTATGTGTACGCGTTCCAAACCTGCGCTATGGGGCCACCACCAACCGCCACCGCAACCCCATCGGTAGCACCCAAGGCACGGCACCGCCATGGGGGCTGCGGCGGCGGATGGATGGTGTTCTGGGGGTCGGATATTCAGGGGGGGGGGAAGGGGTCCAAGAACGTCACGTGCCTGTGGTACTTCGTGTGTGTTTTACCACCACCACCTCGCGAGTGACGTCCACTTCCAACGTCTCACCCCTGGCCCTGCCCCTCCGCCATGTATCTCTCTCCACACACACATACATACACACATACATACATACATACATACATACATACATACATACATACATACATACATACATACATACACACACGGCCCCGGCACCGGCACCGGTTGCTTCCCCCCCAGCCCTCCACGTACGACGCCGCCATGAACAGTCGCTACTGGGAGACCCGGCCTGTGCGGGTGCTGGCGCGGCTGCTGCGAATAGGTGAACGGACTGGGGGTGGGCGGGTGGGGCTGGGGCGGGTTGGAGGTGGAGGGTGGGGTGGTAAACGCCTAGTGGTGGCAGGTGTGTGTGTGTGGCTACGTGCACGGGGCTTTCCTGGGGGTATCCGCCAGCGTGGACACGGGTGTATGACATGGGGGCTTTGGGTGCCCCTGCTGTGTGTGTATGTATGTGTGTGTGTGCTACTGCTCACAGCCGCGAGGAGGAAATGGGAAGCGTGCTACACACTGTGTGGGGGGGGGAAGGAGGGAGGGAGGGAGGAGGGTATTGGTGTGGGCGTTGTCGGGTGGGGGCGGGGGTGGATGCTGGCTGGCGGGTCTAGGTTGGGATGGTTGGGATTGGGTCGATTGTCGGGTGCGGGTGAGTGGCTGGGAGCATGAGTGGGGGAGAGCGGTACTCGCCAGGTTAAGGTGTCTGTGTGTGTATGTGTTTGTGTTGTTGCTGGGGGCCCAGTGGGTTGACTGGTGTGTATGTGTATGCGTTCTGATCTGAGCTGATTTGCTAACTGACCGGTTGGTTGGTTGGTTGGTTGCAGGTGTTGAGTTTGGCGGTTGGGCTGCTGCTGCTCGTGCTCGTAACCTGCGTATCAAGGACCCTGCGCAGCAGGAGGTGGCGGCGGCGGAGTCGCTCAAGGACGTGCTGGTGGGGGAGTGGCTGGGGCTGGGGGGGAGGGAGGGAGTTCAAGGTAGTTCGGGAAGGAGAGAAGGGGAGCGGGAGGGAAGGGGTCGGGGATGTCAAACCCCTACCCCGCCCAATTTCCCCCGGGCGCGGGGAACGTTCGGGAAAAGCAGAGCGCCATGTCGTACCTCGACACCACTCACTCAACCAGTAAACATCATGTCTCCTGTTCCTGAAGGCGCGACGTCCTTTCTTCCGGTGCCGTACGGGACAATACGTCCTTCTTTGCCCTTCAAAACCTCCGGGGGGATTCGTAAGTGAGTTTGCTCGTCCATTCCCCGTCCTAACCCCCAACCCCCGCTCCACCCCCCCCCCCCCTGCTGATGCCCCCTCCCCGTCCCCCCCAAATGAAAGGTCCGTCTGGGTCCGGCATTTGTCAAAATCGGTCAGGCGCTGTCCAGTCGACCTGATGTGCTGCCGCCGCCGTACATCGCCGCACTGGAGGCGCTCCAGGACCGCATCCCGCCTTTCCCGGACTCGGCTGCCATGGCGGGTGCGTGCCCGTGTGTGCACGTGGGAGGGGCAGGGAGGGAGGGAGGGGGGCAGGGAGTGCGGAGCTGTGTTTGCATTGAACCCGAAACACTTCAATTTGCTCCTCCTCCTCCTCCTCCTCCCACCACCCCCCCGTTTTTTTGGGGGGTTTGGGAGGAGAACTTGCATACCGACAGCTTATCATTACCAGCTAATCAGCTAGTTCTCCAGGCCAGCAGCAAACTTTATTCCAGCTTTACGACAGCAGTGTTTTACTACTTCTCCGCCGCCTCTACAGCTACTTTTCTACACCTACTTCTTTACGGCTTGGCATTACTGCTTTTTCTGCTTTTTTAGTCCTGGCGGCTTAGGTAGGTAGTTTTTCCGACATCTTCTTCACTTCGTCATCCCGAGGTCGCGGTCTTCACGGACGCCTTTCGGTCAGTTCTACGTCTGGTACACTCTTGCCCTGGCAGCAGCTTCAATCGTGTGTGGTCGTCTTTCCCCCCACCCCCCGTGCCTTGCACCCACACCGCCAATTCTACACCACTCACCCAGCTACCCGCTTACTAGCGCAACACCACAGACACTGACACCCGCCCCCACTCACCCGTACACAGACACAACCCACGTTTCCCCCTCCCCCCCTTCTTTTCATGTCCTCCCCCCCCTTCTTTTCATGTCCTCTCCCCCCCCTTTCTTTTCATGTCCTCTCCCCTCCCTTCTTTTCATGTCCTTCCCCCCCTTCTTTTCATGTCCTCTCCCCCCTTCTTTTCATGTCCTCTCCCCTCCCTTCTTTTCATGTCCTCTCCCCCCCCCTTCTTTTCATGTCCTCTCCCCTCCCTTCTTTTCATGTCCTCTCCCGCCTCCCCCCTTGCACGCGGCGCGCTACAGTGTTGGAGTCGGAGCTGGGTGTCCCGCCCTCCTCTGTGTTCTGCCGCCTCTCCCCCAGCCCGGTGGCAGCGGCCTCCCTGGGGCAGGTGTACCGGGGGGCGCTGAGACCGGAGCTGGGGGGAGGGGAGGTGGCGGTCAAGGTGCAGAGGCCCCGGGTGGCGCAGATGATTGCGCAGGTGGGGTGTGGGGGAGGGAGGGGCAGGGAGACCAGCACCACCACCACCACCACCACCAGCAGCACCACCACCACCAGCACTACCAGTACCAACCAACCCCAGAGCAGTCAGGCAACCTTGGTTTCGTAACGTTATGCCCCCACAGCCGCTTCCCTCAACGCCGGCAGCTGGTGATTCTTTGTTCCCTGCACCACCACCGGATCTCCCCCCCTCTCCCGACCCCTTCACTGTTGGGTGGTGCGAGGGTCGACTCTTTCGCCGTGTGTGTTTCGCCTTGTGTCTTGTGCCCCCCGTGTGTTCCCCGTCCCCCATTGCTGACTCAGGACGTGTACATATTGCGCATCCTGGCCGGCTGGCTCCGTACGGCTCGTCGCTTCAACACGGACCTGCCGGCGCTGGTGGACGAGTGGGCCTCGTCGCTGTTCCGAGAGCTGAACTACCGGACCGAGGCGGCGAATGCGCGCAGGTGGATTTTGGTGGGGGGTGGAGGTGCGTGTGCAGAAGTGTGTGGAGGTGCGTGTGTGTATGTGTGTTTGTAAATCTGGATGGATGGTTTGAGGTCGATGGTAGCTGTAACCGGAGGGAGGGGGAGAGGAGGAGGTCGTCATGGTGGGGGTGGGGATGGTGGGGGTGCGGCACGGGCAGGGGATTCAGTCTGGGGGGATGTGTTCGTGTGGGGGAAGATACGGGGGGAGCAGATACAGGCCATGTATGTATGTATGTCCGTCCGTCTAAATTCCTTGCCCTTGGTGGTTGTCACGCACACACATACATACATACACACACAGGTTCAAGGAGCTCTTCTCGCACCTGCCTCAGGTGTGTTGTGTGTTGGGGGGGGAGAGGTCAGGGGGTTCAGGGGGGAGCAGGGGTTGAGATATTAAAGCTGGGGGGGGCGGGACGGGGCGGGAGAGGGGATTGAGTTCCACCTGGCTGGGGCCCCTCCATCCTCCCCTATGAGGAAGAAGTTAACGTGGGCTCTGGACGAGGGGGGGGGTGTAACGGCAAACGGTGATGTGATGTGGGGCTGGAGCAGCTGTGTGGCGGGTCCTAGGGCGGGAAAAACCCGCCTTCCAGAACCTTCCCGCGTCCAGACCTGGCTTCGCTCGGCATCAACTCGTGCTTCCTTAGGGCTTTTCCTTGTCGTCCTCTTCGTGTGCCGTACAGGTGTACGTGCCGCACATTTACGACGAGTACACGACAGCCAAGGTACGGGTTATGGGAAAGATGACAAATACATACGTATGTACGTACATACATACATACGTACATACATCTATACTGGTTCGTCTTCCCGCTTCCCCCTCCCTCCTCCCTCATCGCTTTGGACTTCTTTAAGCACTTTTGGTACTTTGAACGCGAGTCGGCAGTTGTATCCTTCGCATTGTTGCCTCCTATATATTTCCCCATCCCCTTTACCCTGTACCTGGTCCCCAGGTTCTGACCATGGAGTGGATCGAAGGTGAGAGGCTGCGAACCGCCGGCTCATCTGCCGCGGAGCGCTCCTCCACCTCCTCCACCTCCACATCCCCAGCTGCGTTAAGCGCCACCACCGCCACTATCACCACCATCACCACCGGCGCAAGGGCCAGCGTAAGGAGTGCCAGCGCCACGGCTCCCTCGCTGCGGGGTGGGGCGGGTGCTGGTGCACCATCCACCTCCTCGTCCTCCTCGCCCCCGTCCTCGTCCTCCTCATCGCTCCGCCAGCAGCAGCTGGAGGACCTGGCGCTGGTGGAGGTGGGGGTGCGGTGCTCCCTGGAGCAGATGTTGGAGGAGGGATTCTACCATGCAGATCCGCAGTGAGGACAGAGCGAGAGGGGAGGGGAGGGGTGCGGGAGGGTTGTGGGAGGGGAGGGGAGGGGAGGGTTGTGGGAGGGAAGGGGAGGGGAGGGGAGGTAAGGAGTGTATACAGTTACATATGCAAATACACGTACATTAACGCAAAATGGGGTAGTTAAGGGCGTTGTTGGCTTCAAGGGTTTCTTTCGCCAGGGAATACCTCGCGCCCGGGGAATGGGGAGCAGTCAGCGGTCACCCAAACCCCTAGGGGGGTAGCTACTTTTCACCCGCCACTCCCCACCCGCTCCCATCCTCACCCTCATCCTCGTCCTCACCACCCTACATCCACCTCTCTCCCCTCGCCTACCCGTCTATCTCTGGTATCTGCTTCACTTCATTCGCCAGTAGTTCGTCTTCCCCGCCTCCCACACCTCCTCCCCCTCCCACACCTCCTCCCCCTCCCACACCTCCTCCCCCTCCCACACCTCCTCCCCCTCCCACCTCCTCCCCCTCCCACACCTCCTCCCCCTCCCACACCTCCTCCCCCTCCCACACCTCCTCCCCCTCCCACACCTCCTCCCCCTCCCACACCTCCTCCCCCTCCCACCTCCTCCTGCCCCCAGTCCAGGCAACCTGCTCCGGACCCCGGACGGCCGACTGGCCTACCTGGACTTCGGTATGATGGGGCAGATAGACGAACGAACACGGAACGCACTCATGACCGCTACACTGCATCTCGTCAACCGGGAGTACGGCAGGCTGGCGGAGGTGGGTTGGTTCGTTGGTTGGTTGGCTGGTTGACGAGGTCAAGTTGGTGGTTGAGTTTTAGGAGTTTACGTGGGCGAGGATGTGAGCCGTTTGTGCCGTTTTGCTGGGCCCCTTTGGCCGCTATCCCTGCCACCAATTCTACCGTACATCCTACACCGTACACTGTACGACCGTACGTACGATCTCACTGCATTCCACTTCATCCCACACACGCATCCTCTGGTCTTACTCCTCCGCCTGGTGAAGCAGGCTTGGTCTTTGGCAAGTATGGTCGTCCTCCTCTTCCCCCCGCACGTCTCCCCCCCACACTCCCCGCCACCCAAGTGAAAAGGCACCCGAGCCGTGTTGGCCACTGCAGCAAGACAAACCCCAATCAGGTCCCGGGGGCGACTCAGTATTTGTTTCAGTTCCCTCCCGCTCTCTGGCTGCCTAGCTAACCTCTCCACCTCGGGCTCACTGTAACACCAGGCAAAGAGTACTCAGTTGGGAGATGCCAGGGGAGCTGATCCCTCTTACACTCACATAAATAAAAGAAGTATATTCCTCTTGGCGCGTTTAAGCGGGACCGTGTATCAAACGTGCTTTTTGATACACGTTTACAAGCCAGAAGATGTAATACACACACCACATAATAGATGTATTGCGCCTCCTAGCGTCTAGACCGGTCAATCGGTCCGTCGGCAGAGACACCCGCTCCATGATGCTGTCTTGAAGTCCTATCCAACTCCAACTCCAACTCCAACTCCCCGCCCCGCCCCAGTGTTGGCCAATCTTCCCGCCTCCTCTCATGAACCCATCGCTCATACCCGTCCCCCTCGTTCGTGGTTCGTCTTTCCCCCCACGGCCTTTGCACCCTGGCGGCAGCCCCTAAAACACACACACACACACACAAACCTGCCCGTCTGCCTCAGGACTTCATCATTCTAGGTCTGCTACCCGCCGGCACTGACCGAGATGCCGTACTGCCCGCATTGACTGGTACGGACTGGGGGGCATTGGGGGAAGGGTGCTGGCGGGGTGGAGTGGGATGGGTTGGGGTTTCGGAGGGGGCCCGTGGTTGCTGTATTGCTCTCCCCAGCCGGGTCGGTCACGCCCGGGTCCTGCACATCCCGTGCCGAACTGCCGCCTCTCTCTCCCTCGTGACGGGGACCGCCATTTGCTGTGGAGTCATCTTGGATCAGTTCCTGAGCTCCAAATACAGCTCCAAATACCCATCCTTACATACATGCACACACGCATACACACTCACACACGCACGCTCTCACTCGCGCCCCCTCAGGTGTGTTTTCCGAGGCTCTGAAGGGCGGTGTGAGCAACCTCAGCTTCGGCCAGCTGAGCGGGAACCTGGGAGTCACGATGTACAAGTATTCGTTCAGGCGAGGGAAGGGGAGGGGAAGAGGGAGGTGATGGTTTCGGAGCAATGTGTTTGGCACACACGAGACAACGAGTGACGTGTAATTAGCGTAGTACGACACCCTCGGGGAGCCCCAGCAGGCGCGTGGGAGGACAAATAAGATTCTAGAAGCCCCGGAAGCAAACGGAGCCGCTGTCGTTGAGATCATTACCTCTCTTTATCTCCTAATTTGTTATATCGGCAAGTAAATGGGCTGTTTCAATGAACCCCTCTATTTCCTTTAGCAGGCTACTTAAGCCCTTTTCCTTACCGCTACTGCACTTACTGCTAATTGCAAATTGATATAAAACTTCATTTCATTCATGATGGTTTGTAGCGGAGCTACTGACGAGTTGGGAGTCTAGAACGAGTTGCGGTGTCCATGACCCACCCGAGGCCGCGCACTCCGCGCACTCCGCCCCGCGCATCTCTAAACGTACATACACGTACACGTACACGTACACATTGACACTTGCATGTAATCACCCCCCCCCCCCCATTATTGAACTTGCCACGCATTACGGCCCGTTTTGCCCTCGCTGAGACGTTTGGGACCCTGCGCCGCGCGCCCGACGTACTGTATTCGCACGTGTGCCGCCTTGTACGACCAGGATACCGCCGTACTACACCTTGCTCGTACGATCACTTTCCGTGCTTGAAGGCATCGCGCTTGCGGCGGATCCCAATTACAAGGTGCGGTACGAAGATATTTCGTCGACACGGGGGGCCAACCGCCACCTTGATCCCCCAACTGCGCCTCCGTCCCCCCCCTGGAGTATCGGTCTATCTCCGGTATCAGCATCACTCGTCTGTGGTTCGTCTTTATTCTCCCAGCCGCAACTCCAACCGCCACCCCAACCGCCACCCCAACTCCTACCCTGGCAGGTGCTCGGCTCTGCCTACCCCTGGATCGCTAGGCGACTGCTGACCGACCCCTCGGGGGACTTACGTAAGGCCCTCCGCCGGCTGCTGTACACTGAGGAGGGGCAGTTCCGCTTCGACCGCCTAGAGTCGCTGCTGCGGCAGGTACGGTACGGTACGGCACAGTTGGCATAAGTGATTGGCATAAGTGATATTCCCACTACCCCTGTCTCCTCTCTTCCTTAATCTCTTTACGTCCCTCAATTTGCCCCTCTCTCTTCTCTCCTCCCCCTCCCTGGCGCCCCCTCCCCTCTCTCTCTCTCTGTCCGTTTTTTGGTCTTCATATTGTTTTACGTCACTTCCTCAGGCTGCCAAATCCGCAAATCGCCTGAAGCGCCCTCAGCAGCAGCAGCGGCAGCAGCTTCAGGGGGCTCGCCCCGCCGCCCTGACGAGTGTGGACGGGGGCGGTAACGCAACCACCACCACCACCACCACCACGGGGGCGACGAGCTCCAGCCGCAATGCAGCTCGGGGCAATGGTGACGGTGGTGGCGCGCTGCTGCTGCTGCTCAGTCGCGACGGAGAGTTTGTGCGGGGGATTCTCCTGGACGAGGTAGGGCGTGTGGGCGGGGAGGGGAGGGGAAGGGGAGGGAAACACGCCCTCCCTCTTCTCGAAGGATTAGAGGGTTGGAGGGGGGGGTCCTGTGTGCCAGTACTGCGGCAGTTGGGGGTTGGAGGGGATCCGTAATTTGTTTTTGGATTGCCTCCGAGTGGCAGAGTGGTTGACAAGCTTGTGGGTGTGTTACTTGCAGGTCAAGGAGGAAAATGATGTCCGGGTTATGGAGTTTAGGTTTTGTTTGTGGAAGGTTCTTAGGGGCTTTGGCAGTAATGTAACCCTACACCACCATTGAACACCAATCAGCAGCAGCAGCAGCAGTAGCAGGAGCAAATGGCAGGAAGAGAGCAGGACTCCTCGCCCCGGGGGTTCCCCCGGCCAGTACGAGTGCCCTCTGTTGGCAGGACCGGGATGCGTTGGGGACTGTACGACAGCGCCTCGGAAAGGGGGGAAGGCGGGGGAAAAAGGGAGAGAGCAGCTATGTGGGGTGCATTGCCATGGTCCCATGTACGTGTCTGTGTGTGTGTGTGCCCCTTGACATGGAAAGATGTGTTTATTTGGGTGATGTGTGTGTGGGGGGGAGGCAAAAGGAGGGAACTACATTGGACTGTGGGGACTTTGCTGTTGAGTAGGGCCGCATGTACCGTACTATTGTCGTATTCTTTTGCGTGTCGTACTGCTTTCTACACCCAAGGGTACCTCTATTCCACGCATCCCTCGCAGGTCGCTAAGGGCATCGACGGCGCCTGGCGCATCGCTGCCGACGCGACCGTGGCCACTGTACGGCAGGGCGTGGCGGGCCTGCCGACTCCGGCGCTGCCGCTGCTGGCGTTACTTCCGGGTGCTCCTCTGCTCGCTATGCTGGCGGCACGGAACGGAAGCGACGACGGCAGTAGCAGCAGCAGCGGCGGCGGCGGTAGCGGCGCAATGACGGTACAGCAATCCCTATCGGTGGCATTAGCACGGCTCCCGGCGCTTGCTACTGCCGACGACCGGACGCAGGTGGCGGGGCTGCTACAGCTCGGCAATGCACTGGCGGACGTGTCGGGTGGGTTGCGCCGTCACGGGATCTGGAGGAGAAAAAAGGTGTAGATGTAGGTGTAGGTGTGTGTTTGAAGTTTATCCTGAGGGTTCCTTATTTTAGTCTTGGCGGCTAGGTAGGTGGCTTCCCGCGGTCGACATGATAACATCATCCCGAGGTCGCCTCCTTCAAAACCGCCTACTGGTCAGTTCTGCTTCTTGTACACGCTTTCCTTGGCAGCAGCCTCACTCGTTCACGTGGTTCGTCTTTCCCCCCTCACCTCCCCCTTAGGACTTAAACTTCCAACAGTACAGCAGCCAGACACTGCTACCTCCTCCTCCTCATTATCTTCGGCATCATCATCATCCTCAGCAGCGGCGGCGGGGCCGCGGCCGCCTGCCAGCCCCGCGGACCTTTACGACGCAGTGACTCAGGCCTCTGAGGCGGTGCTGTGGCTGGCTCGCGAGGCAGCGGACCTCCCCTTGGAGGCCAGGGGGGAGCTGCTGCAGCTGCCCCTGCAACTGGGATCCAGGGTAAGTGTGTGCTTGTGGGGGGGGGGGTTGGGGGGGGAAGGGCTAGGGGGGAAGGGCTAGGAGGGGAATCATATGCTGCAAGGAAACCAAAGATGAACTGCCGGAAAAGACAAGTCCAAAATCCATGAAAACTGCCCCTAGGGAGCGAGTCCTAAGCGATGATGGAGTCATCGACCCCCCGTGCTTATGGAAGTAAAGCCCATTATTGCGTTACCGACGTTTGTTGTGGTGTAGTCGTCGTCCGGTCTCGTAAGATTGTCGTTGAGGTCCTCTTGTGACATCCTGCGGAGGGTAGAGGAGCTGTGTCGACTGAAAGAATGAGCTGTAGGTACTGTAGGTACTGGAAGGATGTAAAGCTAGTGGTAGTAAAGGTCAAGCCCGGCTAACTTTGTCCTTCACCCAAACAGCGGGGCGCGTAACCTCAACTTTAGAAAGAAACAACGTAAAGCAGTGGTACACAGGAATGGGGGGAAGGGGCAAGGAAGGGAGGTGTTAGGGTGGGTGGGGAGGTGAGGGGGAAGGTGCGGGAGGAGCTGGAGGTCCTGGGGGAGGGCGGGTGAGGAGAGGGAGGGCGGGGGGAAATAGCATATCGAGGGGGGCCCCGGCGGCAGGGGAGGAGAGGCGAGAGGCGAAATAGGTGGGGAGATGCTAACCGGCTGGTACCAATGTTGGCGTTTTGGCGCCTGGATGCACCACGATGCAGGTAGCGTCGCGAGTGACGGCGAGGGCGCTGAGGGCGCTGGTGCTGGGTAGCGGCGGAGAGGGGGACGGCAGCGGCGAGAATGAGAATGGCGGCAGCGGTACTGCCCCTGGGGAGCTGGTGCCCCCCGCGGGACCCTGATGCGGCCCCCCTCTCCCCGTCCCTGGTTGCTATCCCAGCTACTGCCCCGAGGACGAGGAGGAAGGAAGGGGGGAAGGAAGGGAAAGGGGGGAGGAAGGGGAAGGGGGGAGGAAGGGGAAGGGGGGAGGAAGGGGAAGGGGGGAGGAAGGGGAAGGGGGGAGGAGGGGGCCCTCTCGTGGCCGAGTAGGTGGTTGGCGGGGGTGGGTGGGGGTGCAGCGTACTGGGGCCCCGGAGTGGACGAGGAAGAAGAGGAGGGGGAACAGCGAAAGTAACCCAGCCTCGTGAAAGACGAGGAGGTGGAGGTGGAGGTGGAGGGCAGGGCGGGGCGGGTGGGTGATTAGCATGTGTGTATGTAATATGTTTGTATGTATGTATATGCCGATGTCGAGGTTGCGAACCAACGAGGGATTACTGCTCATTTGCAAAGCTGGGGCGTTGCTGAGAGGTCCAGGGGGGTGGTTGGAGGGGCCCTTACCGTTGCAGCCGGGGTGGAGGGAGAGGGGTTAAGAAGGTCACTTGAGAGTAACGGAGAGAGAGAGGAGAGGTGGGGCAAGGGAGGTGAGGGGGTTGAGACCGGGTGCAAGAGACGGATGTCAGTTGATGTGACAGAACGAATGAGGAGGAGGAGGTGAGCAGAGAGGGTACGAGCGGAGAGAGTGTGTGTGAGTAGCACGTGTGTGAAGCACGGTTCGCGTGCGGAAGGGTAGTTCTAAGAGGTAGATAGATGTTAAGAGAGGTAAATAGCTAGGTAGTTAGATTGGTGACGCCGGGAGGGGAAGGGGAGACGGGGGGTTATGGCGCATGTATTCCACCGAATGAAGGCCGGCACCGCGAGAAGCAAGAATACAACAGTAATCCGATGCAACCTGCAGCTTTACACACCCCACGTATATCACAACTGATAACGGCGTGGACGTGAATTTCATTGATCTGGGCCGCGAGAACGTGTGCATGTGTGCACATGTGTGTTTTTGCGCGTGAGAAGTGTGTAGGTGAATTGCACCCATAAAACCCCACATGCGGTGGGCAATGCCGGGATGCAAGGAGGGCTGCATACACACACATATACACACACATACACACACACACACGCACGATGTGGTGACACAAAACGTCACAACCAACCTTGACAGCCAACCCAAGGAGGACAGTCCCCGAGAAGAAGAACTGACCTTCCTGACTCTTTCGAAGGATAGTAATAGGAGGATACCTTTTGGGGACCAAAGAACAGCCTGGGCCTTAACTAAAGCATCGCGGGTTTCCAGGACCAGGTCCAGATCGGGGGGGTACTACTCTCTAGTCGGGCGTCATCCTAGGTGGGTGGGGCTATAGACGTATTTTGGTTTGTTTGAACTGAGCCAAGAGGTGGAGGGGACATGGAAGGGCTTGTAATGGTGAGATTGCCTGTACGAGGCGAAGGGGAGGGAGCGAGCAGGGTTGGCTGAAAAGAGCTGAAAAGGGAAAATGATTCGGCCTCGTGGTCCTCGGGGGCGGCCTGAAGCGAGTGGCAAACTAAAAGTGTGATATCGCAGATATCAATATGCCCCCTTTGTTTGTTTGTCAGTTTGTTTCGTTTACTTTTTCTCTTTTTTACTTTTTCCCTATCGACGGCGCTGTCAAGGCGGTTCATGAGCCTCCGGGTTCGTTTTGGCCGTACGAGCTCGCTGAAGCTTGTAACATGCGCCGGCTTGCTTGTAACATCCATCCATCCATCCATTGATACTCCTAACAAGCACATTAAGCTTCATTACAGCTAATTAGCTTGTAAGCTCATATAATGCACACTCTTGGCTGGTCTTTTAATTAGACGGACATGCTAATGACCACTATCAAGAATTCAGTCAATCATATTCACTGCCAGCATTGTTCCTATTGACCATACATACAATGCACACATATTATCCACGTTGCAATTCTGGTGCGTATGGCGGCAAAAATGGTGGCGTTCTAGCGTTCGCGCGCGCGGACCACCACAACAAGATCGTTGACTGTCTTTCTGCAGCATAGGCCCACACTTATGGTGCACCTCATTTAGCAAGACATCCAGTGGCAACCGAGGATTTTACCTGGAAGGGCGCCTTACACTTCGCCGGGTGTGACCGTGTTCGGGGTCAAACATCCGGATCTCCCGCCCAAAATCCTCGACGCTCTTAGGAGAGCCTGCTCTGAAAACGAGCAGACTTTGAATAGTGTTGCATATGTCGTGCATAGAGCTGAAATTCGCAGGTCGGGACGGGGCACTTAAGCTACTGGCCGACATTACATTGCCGCCCGTTGGCTGGTCCGCGAGTTTTAGGTCTTGGGTCTGGAGCGGCGGTAAGTGCCTGGAACTTTTGATAGGAATATTTATTGGCTTCGCTGGCGGCTTCTCGTGGTCCCCAATTTGCTCTGCCTATGAACGCCTGTTCGTCCGCCTCCTTGCATCTAGGCTGCAGCTGTGTGCCTTATCCTTAGGTTTAGGTTTCTAAACAAGGCATGTTTTGGTGCGGCAATGTTGATAATTGGGCATTCACAAGTGATTGGTGAAGACATGTATGTTTGCGTGTGTAGACAGGCGAGACAGGCGCAGGTGAATGTAAACTTGGGTTACCCTGTCTCTTACCCATCAGTAATATATTACCCCAACCCCTTTGTTACCCCTCAGTAAGGGGTTACCCCTACCCCGGGATTAGGTTACCCACCTCCCTTCGTACATAGCCACATTCGTTAAACTTAAAGGGGGTTACCCTCCGTTTTATGCCAGCTGGCGATGCTACAACCGCTTCGGACCCACTTCGCGTTGCGAAAATTAACAAGCGAAAATTAAGGAAACAATCCTCCACTTCGCTTTGTAAACACTTTTCCTCTGTCCCTGTTGACAATGACCTTCAGGACCAGATGCTGTCAACTGATAACGTTGCGGCCTCCCTCGACGCTACAGGCCATGATAATGTTGAGCGGCAGCCCCCAAAGCCAAAGCGCCTGGCACCTTACCAGCGCGTTTGGTGGAGACTTTGCGTGAGTCAGTGCCAAACCGCATCAGCACCTTGGAGCGTTCCCTGGAAGGATCACATCAGGAGATGGCAGAGATTCGTGACGACATCCTATCGTTACGAAATTCATCAATTCATCACAGCGTTTGGAGACACAACTTCAGGAATTACTCTCCAAGCTCTCCACGCCCACCACTCCACCACCACTCCACGGTCCATGGCCATTTGCAAGATTATCAAGCAAGTGACTGCATCTTCCTTGGCCGGCATCCTGTCGAAGGAGAGCCTTCAGGTCGCCGCTTTTGAGGCGGCCCTGGACTCCCTGACAATCGAGCAGGAGGTCACCTTGGAGGAGGTCCGAAAGCTTTGGGACACCGGTGTGGTGGAAAGCGGCCCTGGTGTTAGCACTACGGATTCCGACTCTGCACAGCCTGCGCTACAGCCCACTGGCAAAACTCCGTGTATGGAGGTGAGTACGCAAAAACGCGTTCCGCTTCCCACACGTCAAAAGCTTTTTGCCTGATCTGTGCTCCCCGAAAATGTCCGTGGCCCAGACTTGAGCTTTGGCCCCATACGAAGTACAAAGTGCTCTAACGGGTCCATTTGCATCAAGTCAAAGTATTGCAAAAGCAACTCGAACCAGGATCGTGTGCCAGTAATCTGTGCATCCCTTTTTCCCATAAATTTTGGGGGAAGCGGAACGCGTTTTTGCGTACTCACCTCCATACACGGAGTTTTGCCAGTGGGCTGTAGCGCAGGCTGTGCAGAGTCGGAATCCGTAGTGCTAACACCAGGGCCGCTTTCCACCACACCGGTGTCCCAAAGCTTTCGGACCTCCTCCAAGGTGACCTCCGGCTCTATAGTCAGGGAGTCCAGGGCCGCCTGAAAAGCGGTGACCTGGAGGCTCTCCTTCGACAGGATGCCGGCCAAGGAAGACGAAGCCACTTGCTGGATAATCTTGCAAATGGCCACGGACCGTGGATTGGGAGGTGGTGGGCTAGAGGGCGTGGACAGCTTGGAGAGTAACTCCTGAAGTTGCGTCTATACACGCTGTGATGAATTGATGAATTTCGTAACGATAGGATGTCGTCACGAATTTCTGCCATCTCCTGATGTGATCCTTCCAGGGAACGATCCTAAGTGCTGACGCAGTTTGGCACTGACTCACGCAAAGTCTCCACCAATTGTGCCGGTAAGGCGCTAATACGCCTAAGGTAAGAGATGGCTGTTACACAGAGACAGATGGTTCAGCAATCGCCACCAATCCAGCATGCGAAACTCGGTCCATCAACTGTAATATCAACTCCACATCTCAGCAGCCATAATTTCACAATCCCGAAAATGTCAGGGGTCTCCTCAGGAAATCGAATTCAGGACCTTGTATATTGAAGTCAGGATTGTCAACCAGACCAGACCTAACAGTCTGCTTAGTGCCAACAAGATGAAACAAAGCAAGATGAAATAAATTCGGAGGTCATTTGCAACAATGAAAAACTGGTAAACAGCTAATGCTACTCTTAACCCTCAGATTGCCACCCCCCTCCCCGAATCCCACGTCGAGGTTCCGTGGTAAATTTGGATCCTGTTCTACATCGTACAACTCACACCTAAAACCCTAAAAGTAGATTCACGATTGCACTACGACGCGAGGTACGACGACCTGAGGTACGACCTGGTCCGTCCAAATAAGAGTTTGGCCATTCTTAGCCTGTGCTGATAACAATAACAACGCGTCACATCTTTTCACATACCAATGTACATACAAAACATTTATCATCAGAACAGGGCAAACGCATCTGGCTGTAGCAATCTGAAGTACCAACTGCTGCTGTACACATCAGATTATGATGGAGGCGGTGAGTAAGCCTTTCCTAGGGGTACGGCCCTGTAGATGGGAGCCCGGGCGGGACTAGCGAGGCCGCATGATACCATCTTGACTACAAAACGACATCATTACGGATAGTGTTCGAGCGGTAATGACCGCCAACATGATGATTCGGGTTTCTTATCTTTGATCCAGCAGTATTGGAGTGGCTTGTGGCCCGGGGCGTACCCATGGGGGTGAGTGGCTCTCTCGCATGCATGTTCTTGATGCGTGCTGGTGTTGGTGCTGCTCAGCTCTACTGCTCATCACTGAATGTATGCCACGCACTGTCTGGCGTCTGATGGCGTCTTGACCGATCTCGATGTATAGGACCTATCATTCTTGGCTTCCGTCCGGTCTGCTTCATTTCTGCTGCTGACCTCTGGACTGGATGGTAAAGGACCTGTCGCTAGGTTTCCATTTGACTGACTGATGGCCTGCATTTATGTATTCGGAATGTAGTGGTGATCGTACACTCTGGCGCACGCAGTCGATTCATACACATGCTGGGAGCACATTTCCAGCATCTCGAGAGGCCTTTTCAGTCGCCATCTATTACGGCTGTTTTCTCGGGAACCATCTTCATACGCCTCGCTCGTTGCTGTGTTGTAGGATGATGGTAAGCTTTACGTAACGGCAGCACACTGTCACGACCTGGTCATTCTGCGTTGCCTGAGGCGGCTGGGCTGCCCCTGGGGCCCCGGCGTCTTCAGCCGAGCAGTGTACGACAAGGGTGCGCTGTACGGCAGGAGCAATGGCAGTACCCCAGAGGTCCTTCAGTGGCTGCACGCCGAGGGCTGCCCGGTGGACTGGGAGGAGGCCAGGAGCCAGGCCAAGAACAGAAAGGATGAATGTTTAAGTGATGCAAAAGCTGTCGCTGTCCATGCCTGGATTGAGAGCATAGCGCCGAGTTAGCTGTTGGAACACTCCCCCACTATCGGCAGGCTGATAGGAAGATGGACAAATGGACGAACACCAGGACGGCAACTGCATCGCCTATGCCTCCCCAACCATCAACCACTAACCACCACTCCGCCCGAGTCCATCTGCATGTGCCTACAACCAGCTGTTGCCTAACGATAGTTGTACGGGGTAAGACGTACAAAACAAACATTCACCACACAATAACAAGACTGTAATCCTCACGCAGGCTCTCACATTCCCCTGAGCTGACCGTACCGGGGCTCGGTGAGTGGGTTAGGGTGCTTCACCGCTAACATTGTCGATGCCTCCTCCTCCTCCCCCTCTTCCTCCTCCTCTTCTTCCTCCTCCTCCACGAAAAAAGGCAAGCGTGTCTGCAACCGTGCACGTGGGCCGCACCCCTCACTCCACATTCCCGTCCGTGAATACCCGAAATACGTTCGTTCCGAAACCACACGAACAACATGAATTTTGCTTGCGCGAATCCTTGGTTTACGTAACAGAGCAATGTGAAGGCAAGTGAAGAGCCAATCAAGGGATTGGTCAGTGACACGACCTCAGAGCCCTTTCCATCGGATCTTCTTCCCGCTCCGGAACACCTCAGCATGTAGACACCATGTCATAATACACACTCACTTATATTATTTTTGTCCCGTTTTTCATCACAAAATCTCCCGGGTTCGAACCCCCGCAGATGGAAGTTCCAAACAAGAGCACGCGTCCCCTCCAACCCCTGCCGGCGTCCGGTGCTGGGCTTCCGGCCCCAGGGCAACATCGTTTCACAATACTCGCACACAGACATACATGCATACATACACACCTCACATATACCCACACACGTACGTTTGCCACATCACCCCGGGCAACCGACAACCACAAACACAACCACAGCAACCACAATAACAACCCACCTGCACGTCGTGAAGCTATCATTCCCAGCCCGCGAACACCCCAATGCCCTCATCCAACAACCTCACACCATCGCCATCCTTTAGGAGGGGATTGCATTGTCGCGCTGCGCGTACTCAGAGGATTGTTTTTGAAAGCTTCCTCCCCAGCCAGGCAATCTGTTGGAATCAGTGGCACTATGTCAGAACGCCCCAATTTCCCGCCATCCGTCTTTCCCTCCACCGAATCCCATCAGACATACATACACATCACTGTTGTCCGGGAGGTTGGCCCTCACCCGTCTTCCGGTTCCTCAGCTCCGTCCCCCACCCAGAAAGCATTCAGACGGCGATCATTCAGACGGCGCCGCTGCGCCGCCCAGGCTCTTGCCACTGCCGCCGCCACCGCAGCAGCCGGCAGCGGCCGCTCCCGCCGGCGACCCGGCGCCCCCGCCAGTGAGCCTGCCGGCGGATTTCGATACGTGCATGACCAGCGGTGGCGTGTACGAACGTACGACCAGTACGTGGCGCTTGGAGTTTCTCGTGGCATAATCAGCAACCGAACCCAAATAAGCGCCCCATGGGTCGCGACCACCTTCCTGACCCTGTGGTGGTTGGTGGTTATTAACGGTAATTGTGCGTTGGAAGTTGTGGCGGTAGTTGATGGCGGTTGTGGAATGGGGTGAGGGTTACGATGGTGGTGGTGGTGCGAGAGGGGGGACAGCACAAAGATGCAAGAGGGAAGTTGAGCGGAGGGGGGCGCGGATTTGCCCTCCCCGGGTACTCTTCACATCGCCCGTCAGTTTCCTAAGCCCTAAGTCCTCCTTCAAGCACGCCGGGGCCCCTGCCCGCAAGGTTCCAACACTGACCCCACAGAGCCCCTAACCCCACAGCACGACCTGCCGACGTCCTTGCGGGAATTTAAATGCCCACTTTTCCTTACACACCTGCCGCCCGGCCCCCCGGCCCCAACAATACCGTAAAAACACCCCCAAGTCCCTCTAGCTAGAGGCCCCCTGAACCCCCCGGGTAATCTCCGTATTTAACCCCCCACGGCAAACCCCAACATACATACATACAGACACACAAATCTCCCTCCTCCGATTCTGAAGACCCCATCCCACTAGCGGCACTTGGGGGTTGCGGGATATCACCTTGCCATGAGCGGCCAGTACGAGCACCACGGCATCCACCTCGTCGGCAACCTGACGAAAGGGGGGTAGCAGGGGCGGGGTGCCCCACGGGCTGATCGACGGAGCTTACCCCCACCTCGGAAAGTCGTGGGGAGAGATGGCAGCGGCATTGGGTAAGCGCGGTCATAAGGGCGCCTGTCACACTTCTCGCGATGCGTCTTGGCGTAGTAAGCTATGGATGCAATCCCCTGCGCCGCTCTCATTAAAACCCTAAAACCCACTAACGCACCTTGAACATGATGTTACACACGGCCGATGCGGGGGCGTTGTCGGTATCCAGGTAAAGGTGCAGATTGTGCGGCATGCCGTACGCATCCATCGGCCGAGTGATCCTGAAATACAATTGTACAAAGCACACACACACACACACACGGCACACAGTATACTATGTACACTATGCCCCGTAGCGTCGCGACGCGGTCTCTTCACGCAACCTAGGATCTCAAACGGTGCTAGGGGGCTCTACTTCGCCTCCTCCTCGTCCTCCTTACAACGACCGATGAGGAGAGATCTGGATGCGGTTGGAATCACTCAACTAATAACCACCTCAACAGAAGCCGTTGGTGGCATCATCCCACAACCGGGAGGTCCCCGTATCGAATCCGACCCCGCCGGCCCCGTGCCAAACCCGGGAGCGACGCGACGCATAGATACACACATACACATCTACACATGCATGTACGCACGCACGCGCCCAGGTATTGAAAAGCCAGTGATCGTGGTGTGCTGATGTTAGTAGCCATTAGCAAGATCGTCGAGCCCGCAAAGCGCATGCCGTGTATGGAAGGCAAGGAAGACAGACAGACAGACAGACAAAATATTACATGCACGGGGTGATTGTGACTGGTAAGCTGCGGCTGCGGCTGCATACAGGGTATTGTGGCACATTCTCCCCCCTCCCCCCTTTCTATAACCCCTCACATACGCCCGCCTGTGTTCTCTCCCTCTTGATAACCCCTCTTCCCCCCCAAGACCCGACCGACTACCTCCCGTACTTTTCTCTGATGTCCTCCTTAAGCCGTTCCAAAAAGGCTTTCTCGTCAATGGGTGGCTTGGGATCCGGTACGTCGTACGTTGCATGGTACTGGTGGTGGATGGTTAGTTGGGGGGCTGCATGGAGGGAAAGATCGGGATGAAGGTGGGGAAAGCGGCGGAGAGGGTGGATGGGTGCGATGGAGTGAGGGAAGAGGGAGAATGCAGCTGGAAAGAGGGGGAATACGCGGAGAGGGTGAGGAGGACGAGAGGGAGGCTTTTTAAGGAAGGGTCCGAGCGAGGATAGTTGTAATAGCCGGGGTTGAGAGATAACCCCGGCTGGTCAGGACGCTAGGAGAGAGGCCAGAAGAGAGAGGAGTTGGTTGGAGCTATCACTGGGCGGGTTGTGGCAGATCGCGTGGAGAAATGATTCTGCGCATCTGCGCTTAAGACAGCGGCATCGCAACGGCCAACATAAGAGGAGGACCTACCCAAAATGCGCGCCACGTGCACAAGGTGAAACGTGTCGCCTTTTCGATAGAATTCGTGCATTGCCCACTGCGCCGCGCTCACGCTTGCGTCGGTCGTGTCGATTGCCAACAGAATGTTTCGGCCCGAAGGAGTGGAAGTTGGAGGCGCACCTCCCGAGCTATGCGTGGTGAACATACTTAATGCAAAAGCTAAGAAAATGGAGAGCAAAGACGTAAAAGTTGAACGTCGTTACACACGGATATGCGACCTGACAGAACTGCGATAACTCTTCAAGGCCTTACATCAAATTATATAGAGACTATAATCGATGCTGAGTGCAGCAACTTTGTATTCGGCGAAGGTTTGCGTAGAACTGACAACTGTAACTATACCATCGGCGAAGTTACCAGCGTGAGGGCTGCATGCCGTGATCTATTTCGGGCTCACCATTGGAGGTGTTTGCCGCCGCTAAAAGGTCAAGCTAAACCCACAGGAACTGCTCCAAGGCAGTTGAAACTGCCGTACCTGTTGCCTTAGTCGCCAGCTTCAATTTTCGCATAATGCCAGGGAAAGAATAATATATACAGATGATCGCTTAATACGAATCGACTGTCTATACGTTGCATCTGTCGTTGGTCTGAAGCAGTGTGAAGCTGTTCTGTATTAGCTTCCCACTGCTCTTCCCCAGCAACCTCTCCACACACTATAACACACAATGTATCCGTGTGCCTCAGGGGGTAGGGTGGGATTCCAACGATGTCGGACGGACTTTCACCTACTCACCTAGCATGAATCATATGCGTGGCCTCCGCTCTCGATGAATTCATGCGGCCTTCTGCTGCAACATTCCGGAAGGCAATGTTGCGTGTCCAGGGGTTGCATGTAAGAGAGCTTTTGCTATGCTCGCACAGGGAACATCAAGGAAGTTAAGAGGGTGCGACCCAGGTGCCGGGTCGCACCCTCTCCCACCCGAACATGAATGTACCGTTTATTTCACAAGTCCGAAAGCTGTATGCTGCAAGGAGGGTACTCGTTCAGCAAAACACAACCCAGAGCAACAAACGCGGTGAGTGGTGATGACACAAAGGACTCGACAACAAGGCTGCGATGACAACCAATCCGTAGTTGCAGCCTGTCGACCGATTATGGGGGTTCCTCTGCAGGACGCACAGGTTTAGTGGTGGAGCTGTGGAAGCTATAGTAGCAGCAGCACGACACAGGTTTCGAGTACGAATAGAACAATCTCAACGACTCGAGGAGAGGCTGAGAGGGGACTGGTTAGCGTTCGAACGGGACTTCTTAGACTCCTCGAAGTTGTCTTCCGTTCGGGGTCGGGTCGAAGCGAGAGCGGTACGAGAATATGGCATCCTCTATTTCATAGCTACAATACAAGTTTACAAGTTTCACAAGTTTCGCACGAATGCGGGGGCTTGTCCGTCAAAGCCCGGGGGCCATGGCTTAAAATCTGCGTCTGGTCAGGATATGTCGTGACAGCGTGGAAGGTCCATGCCTAAGGAAATACTTGTCCCGCGAACCATAGCATTGTTTGTACGTAGCTGCTACATGACCCAGCGACCGTGCAGCTACTCAGAGCCAGGCATCCGTACTTTTCTTCTCCTGTTTTTAATCTTGTTTCTTGATCACTTCTTTCGCATCAGCCGTCTGCGGCCTAGCCTGCAACATCAGCAGCGAGACGACCATGACAATGTGAGGGCGGTGGCCAGGTAAGGGGCAAACCTTGACGGCGGGGTTGCGGATGCCGCACTCCGCTTGGATGAAGGCCCGGCGTCCCTATCGCAATTTTTACTTTATCTGCATGATGAGCTGCCAGTATAAATTGAGATGCCACTTAACGTGGATGCGGACAAAAGTTGGTTCTGCATTTGCCAGGTCAGGAACAAGCTCTTCCCTGCGAAAGCCGCTCTGGCCTGATTGATTGATGTTATGAATCGTGTGAGGACCACCTTTTCAGACAGTAGGTGAATAGGCTGCGCCAGCACCCCTGGTGCACGGACACGCCTTATTCTGCTGCTTCTAAAGCAGGACTGTAACCTTTCCGTGGAGATAATTCGTGATTTTCCAAAATCGAACTTGCGAAATTAAATCAGCATTTCCTGGGATTGTTGGGGGCATTCAATCAAACTGCTGTCGTGCATACGCGGCACATTCACAGGACACAAAGCAGTGAAACTGTTTATACAGCAGAGTTCAGATCACATGACTGCAAGTATTCATGACATGACGCTTTGCTTGCGGTGCAGCCTGGCTACTGTTAAAATCGCTGGTTGAGTACGGCCTGTAGCCCTGTAGTCAGCCTCTATCATTTCAGACCAACATTTGTAAATTTCTCTGGTGGCGTCGCGCATTTACTGTTATATTGTTTCCTATACAGTTTTGGGACACGCTTTGCAACGCATGCGAAGCCCGAAACACAACAAGCACAATCGCCTATTGCCAAAAATGCAAGCCTATCGAGCGTTATTTGTTATAAACTAATAAATTTTCAAGGTTGCATAGCTTACCTTGCGTATCGCGGCAAGGCCAGTTGTGTTTCGACAGGAGGACGTGCGCACATCCATCGAGGTATAATCTCATAAAGGCTTGCTCTCTGCCATGATCGCTGATATTAATAATTTAGATATATGGGTCTGAGCTGGATGCTGCGGTTGATGTTGCAGCGGTGTGTAGCGGATGGCACCGTAGCGCCTATATGCTTTCGTTGCCTTCACCATTCATGGAGGCCATGGACAAACTATAGAGCTGTAACTCACGTCGAATCGTGTAGGGAGGGTTTTATGGGAGGCGTGGTTTGCTGCGGCACCGCAGCACGGTCGCACAAGAGACAGCCGGCCCGTCCAGCTAACGCGCTAACAATTTTGCCGGATAAGTCCCAAGCTGAATGATGCAAGTATACTTACCGCACCTTGCTTCACGTCTTGGATGGCGCCGTCTGTAAGCTCGTGACTGCAAGCCTCAGTAAGCACGCAGGCATCAGTCAAGCGATAACGCGCACAAGCCGTATAACAAAATCATATTTCCTCTCAATTATTCCTCCTTGCAGGATGGAACTTTGCGGAACCTGCGACCCCGGCCGGCGCTGAGACATTTACCATAGCTTCAGCCCTGCGCGCCTTACCTTCAGAAGTCGTTTGAGGAGCCATTATTAACGACAGGCCTCCCCACAGCCTCAAAATATTTTATGCCTGTCCGCTCAGCGCCTTCCGTAGCGCTCTACAAAACCGTTCAGTCAGCTGTCTTGTCTCCCCATCTGGGTCACAGCTACCAAACGCCAGACTCACGACGACATCACCCCAAAATGACCACCTAGCCGCTGCCGGAGACTGTACTGCGACAGCGCGCAACTCAGAGCGCTATTTCTCGCGCACAAGTGATTTCCCGTTGTGTCGTTGGAGGGACACACCGAAATGCACGATCCGCTGTCTCGGTTGGCCTACACGGCTGCGGCCCTTTCCCGCAGGGACACCTCAGCCTCCGCCAGCCACCAGCAAGAGCAGCAGGTCATGATGCAGCACCAGCAACAACAGCAACAACCTCAGCGACCCCACGAGGTACAGCACCAACCCACAGACGCCGTTGACGATGAACCTCTCTCCGAACCTGAAGACGAAGTCATGGCGGCGGATACCGGCCGCCGCGACGGCGTCTGCAATGACGCCGACGAGTTTCCCCCGGGTTATGGTGACATAGTCGTTCCCAGCCGCGGCGGGGCCGGCAGGCGTCGGACGGTTTCGGAGCCCTTCATCCCACGGGCGTCACCGCCCCTGGGCGGCCGCACAGGCAGAGACATGCCGCCAACCTCCTCTACCGCCGCCACCGCCGCTGCCGCTTGTGGCAGTCGCGGCAGTGGCGGCGACGGCGGTGGCGCATTCCCGAGCGGAGAGCGTGTACGGCCTCGGGAACCTCGGGAGGTTGATGGCCTGAGAGCTTCCAGTCCCCTGGGGGATGGCTTTGAGGAGGGGGGATCTCAGGGGGGGGCAGGAGGAGCCAGGCGGCCCGCCAGCCGCCGTCCAGTCCAGTTTTGGGGCGTCTTCAACGGTACTTGGGGGTGGGTGGGTCGGGCATTTGGCTAGAGGGGGTGTCTGGCCGGGCTCGCCGAATTAGGGACCTTGGAGATCCTCTAGGGGGGGTTTTGGGGGAGGGCCTTGTGGTGGTTCCACCAACTGTCACAAGCCGACCTGTAACCGCCGCAACTGCTGCTACTGCTATGTCCCTTCCCTCCCACGTTTTGCTAGTGCTAATGATGTTGCTGTTGCTGTTGTGACAACTGCGGATGATGTTGGTCTGCTGCTTTTGCGTTCGGTTAGATTGGTGGCGTGCGGAGTTAGAGCGAACGGGCAAGCGGCCCTCAGCCGAGTCCGTGAGTGCCTGGTACTCGGAGCACGCGGTGGCCTGCTGGGGCCCTCATGCGCCCTCCCTGGAGGAGACACGCACCCACGCCAAGTGCTTGCGATCCGTGGGATCCATCCGGGAGTACTTCCGGGGATATAGGGCCCGAAAGAAAGCCCGGCAGAGCGAGGTGCGCAGTACAGATCTGCCTTGGTGAGGGGCAGAAATGGTATCTTTAATTAAGATCTTCGGAGGATTTGAACTCGGGTGTTGATGTATAGTGACGGACTTGCCAAGTTCAGTGATTGAAATGTGTTTATACGTTGGGTAGTTGCGGCTCAGGGAAATTCCCCAGCGTTGGGTTTCGGAGGGTTTGGGTGTAGTGTCCTGGTGGTATGTGAAATCAGAGTCATGACCTCCGCGCTTTGTGCTCCAGCCCTGCTCGTACCCTGCTGCCAGCGGCGCCGCTCCCTGTTAGTTGTCGTCTGTTGGCGTTGGTTGGTGGTTGGTGGTTGCTGTACGACCCGAATGCGTCACGATTGTGAGCGTAAACGTGCTGTGATGATGTGCTGTGCTTCGATGCCCCCAGGACCCTGCCACAGCCGGTGGCGCTGCAGGCGGCGGCGGGGCTGCCGCCGCCTTGACGGCCGCGAACGGCATCTTGGCCAGTGGCTGCAGCGGCGGCGGCGGCAGCGGCAGCGGCGGTGGCGGCGGCGCCGCCGCCGCCGTTAACCTACCAAACCTCTCTGGTCTTTCCGCCTTGTCCTCCTGGCTGCCTCACTTGTCACAACTTGGCGCGCTGGGCCTGTCGCCGTTGCAGATGATGACGGCGTCCAAGTACGGCAGTACGGCAGTCTCCGCTGCCGCCGCCGCGTCGCTTCTGGGGTTCCAGGACATGCCGAGTCTGGGTGCCGCCGCCGCCGCCGGTGGACCAGGCGCCGACGGCTTGCTCGCCGCCGGTCCCCACGTCCCCTCCGGCCGCGCCGCCGTCGGTTCCCCGTTCAGTAGCGCGTCATCGTACGGCATCCTACCTGCGGATGTGGCGGCCGGCGGCGGGCTATTTCCCCTTCCCCCGCTGCCGCTGCCGCCGCTGCAGGGCGCCGACGGCCTCGTCGTTGGGGATTTGTCCGCGCCACGCTTGCGAATGGATGTCGATGCGCTGTTACTATTGGATAGGGCTTCGGAGCCCGACTCCGCCATGGCAGATGTGACAGGTGTGGTGGCGGCTGCGCAGCCGCCGCTCCGCCACGTCCTGACGGTTACAACGGGTTCGAGTCCCACAGCGCGTCCCGCGATCGAGGACGCCGCCGCCGCCAAGCGTCCCGTACAGTCAGTCGCCGTCACCACTGCGGTACCATTCAGTGCCGCCGCCGCCGCTGCTAAGGCTGAGGCAAGTGTCGTACGCGGCGGCGGCGAAGAGTCCTCGGAGGATGGTGGCGGCGTGACGGTACATGACGGCTCAGGCGGCGGCGCTGTCGGTGCTGCCGCCCCCAGCACGCCGGCCGCGCCCGCTGCCAGCCGCGCCGACAGCGTAAACCCCATCGTGGGTGTGGAGGCGTGGAGCCAGCAGCGGGCGGCGGTGGTTGCTAGGGAGGAGTCGGCGTTTTCTTTCCGTATAGGCCGGGGATGTGGGTTGGGATCGGACGGCGGCAGGTCATCTAGCGCCACGCCGCCGATGCTACATTTTGCGTTGACTGGATCTGGCCTGGATTCGGATCCGATCTCTTCACGGCATCCTCATCTCAGCATGCAACCGGAACAGTTGCTCGCAGCACTGCCGTACACGGACGCGGCTGCGGTCATTCGCATCACACCTCGAGCGGCGACGGCGGTGACGGCCGGGGCGGCGGCGGCGCAGCAGCAGCAGCAGCCCCAGCCGCTGCCGGATACCTCGCCGGCAGGCAAGGGCTCGCTTCACATCTCCTTCGGCCCCGTCGATGACGTCATCATCACCGATGCCGTCACCTGCGGCGGACATCCTGCTGACGTCACACTGCCGTACAAGCCGGTGCCTGCGGCCAGAACTGCGGGCAGCAACGGCGGCGGCGGCGCCGGGGACCCCTTCACGGCCGCCGACGGCTTGCTGAGCGCAGTAGTAGGTGACGACTCCTCCCGCGGTCGTACGGCGGCTGCGACGGCGTCAGCGACGGCGACGGAACCCCCCCCGTCGCCCTTTGCTTTTCGCCCTTCACGCTCGCAATCTCTTGCAGGTCGTGGCGGCTACCTCACCTCTTCCGGCCCTCCCGACGACGAGGGCGGTGGGGACACGGCAGGGGCGTTTCGCCAGATGCCGCGGCGGCTGGGGCCGGCAGTACTCAGATTACCTGGCGGCGCGGAACCTGCGGTGTTACCGCTATCGCTGCCGCCCCAACAGCAGGAGCAGCAGCAGGTAGCGCTGGAGCTGGAGGAGGGGGAGCTGTGCACAGTGCCGTCGTTCAGCCTGATGCCGTCCACTGCGGTCGCCGTACAGCACCAGAGCTCGTCCCGCTCGGACCTTAAATCGGCCGCCGAACAACGGACTCCTGCTCCTTCGCGGGGGGCCCTTCCCCCGGCCCGCGGCCTGCAGCAGCAGCAGCAGCAACCGTCGCCATTGCTGCCATCTGTTGCTGCTGCTGCTACTGCCGCCGCCGTCGCTGCCTTGACGGAGGCGTCATCTTTTGCACGCGGAGATTATCATCATCATAATCATCGTCAGCAGCAGCAGCAGCAGCAGCCAGTTGCACTATGCGTGGTGGCGCCATCTTGGCAGCCGTCTCACACCACCACTGTCTTCCGGTCAACAGCAAGCCCCGCGACTGGGAACAAACACCGCCAACACAGCGACCGCGACAGCGACCACCTCCCGCCCGATGAGATGCAGCTACAGCAGCAGCATCACCATGACAACCAACAACAGCAGCAACACCAGCCGCAAGCCCCTCGCGCCGGGGCCGTATCACCCCAACCGCGTCATCATCATCATCTGCCGCCCCAATCAGTGCAGTTTCAGATCCAGCACCAGCAGCAGCAACGGCGTTCGGCGGGTGTGACGTGTGGTGGTGGCGGCACGAGCGGGTCGCCCTCCCACAAGGTCCAGCAAGGAAACAGCGACAACGGACAACGGGGCCATAGCGAAGGTCAGCAGTCGGCGGCCGCTGCCACGGCCGCTGCGGCGGCGACGGCGACGGCGGCGGCAGCCGCCGCCGTCGCCGTACCGAGTCTCCGCTCTTTGCTTGCGAGACCGGATTCGGAGGTTTGCGGTCTGCTCCATGAACTAAGACACGATCAGTTGGTGCTGATGTTGCTTCGCGCCGTGGCGTTGGTACGGCAGAAGAAGGCGCATGAGGAACGGTTGATGGACGAGCTGTCGCAGGTATAAGTTGCGAAATAATTCCCCCCACTGCCCATTGGATCAGTCTCGGTTTAGGATGCTGTTGTAAGCGCTGCATTGCGTCCGACAAGTGAAAAAACTTATAACCAGCGCGTCTCCCCCTTCGAAGAGACGACGGAATATTTTTTAAATGTTTGATTTTTATGTCAATGCGGGTGCTTTTAAGGCGTAAAACAGCCTCCGCGCGATTGTGCTCTGCATCCACTGACATCCATGACGTGGAGTGGAGTGCGCCGTCCTTTTCCTTTCCCTCCCTTTCCTTCCTTTTCCATAGGGCGGATTGGGCCGTTCCGTCGCCGCACTTCCCCCCCTACCCCCTACATGAGCAGGGTCTTACCTAGTGTTTACGTGCTTAGGTGAACCGTTATTGGGCTTTGGAGGGATGTGGCGGCAGTCCTGCTGCTGCGTGAAAAGGGCAGAGGGCGCCAGGAGGCACTTCCATACCTTGTTGGTCCTTCGCCTCTCCCGTCTTTCGTGATATTCGTCTTCTGTGCGCCACCTTCTCTCTCTCCCCTTACCCCGCGTGATCTCCCCGTCCTCCACCGCCACCACCACCACCACTACCCCCTCGGGCTCGCGGACCCAGGTTCTGGAGCAGCAAGGCAACCTGCAGGCGCAGCTGCACACGCAGCGTATGGAGACGGCACGAATGTACCGCACGATTGTGGCGATGCGGGACGCGCGGAGCAGCGGCGGCGGCGCCAGCGCCGCCGCCATTCCTGCGGGTGTTATAGACGGCGACGGCGACGGAGACGGCGGCGCCGCGACTACTGCAGGCGGTACTGGCGGCGGCGGCGGCGGCGGTGGTGGTGGTCTGGGGTTCACTGGCAGCGCCGCATCGCAGCCGCGGCGGCGGTCCTCGGGGGAGGGAGGGGCTGGCCACAGCCAGGCCATAATGGAAGAGGCGGCAACGGCGCGGACGCTGCGCGTCCCAGCGGCCGTCGGTTCGTCGGCCGGGGTGTCAGTGGAGCATGCCGTACCGTTGGTCCGCCCGACTATAGGCGGCGGTATGGGTGGCACTGGAGTTCAGACTGGTCCGGAGTTTTCGGCTGCGGTGGTACCCAGGCAGCGCGACGCAGATGCAGGTCACGTGGCCTGGAGCTCCCCCAAACCCCGTCAGCACACTGCGCACAGGCGGGGGACACCACGTGAGGGAGACCGCGGGGAGGGGGGTGGGCTGGCGGCGGTGGCGACGCCGGCTGCGTCCGCGGCGGGATGCCAAGAGGCTCTGGCAGCGATGCGCGGCAGCGGCGCCGGCCTCGCATGCCGTAGTTCTGCCGTACAAAAAAGCAGCCAAGCGCACCTTGTTGCCGCCAGCGCGGTGACACCCCGCAGCGCCGACGCCACGAGCCGGGGCTTGCTGTTATGCGGTGGCGGCGGCGGCGGCAGTGGCGATTTAGGCGGCGGCGGTGGCGGTGGCGGTGGCGGTGGCAGCGACGCCAAGGCCGCATCTGCCAGCGGCGGCGGATCCGTCGACGGCGGCGGAGGCGCCAAAGCTGCGGCGTTGTACAGCGACGGCGGCAGCGGCACCAGCAGCGCCTTCTGACCTGCTGCTGCGGTTGCGGCAGCGGCGGCGGCGGCGACTGCTCGTCGTGGTGGACCCGTCAGGTGGTGAGAGCACTATCGCCCCGGGTAGAGATGTGCGTGCGACATGTGCGCAGCCCGGCACGCTACGAGAGTTGGCGGTATGGAAGAATGCTTGCGATCCGTACGTTGTACGACATGCACCATCTATTGTATATGTGGGCTTTAAATCGGGGCTGTTGTCATGATTGTGACTGCGAGAGCCCGCTCGGTTGCGTGCACGTTCAAAACTGGCTTGGTCTCCCCGGTGTCGTGACTGGACCCCTAGGACGGGGCTGGATAAGTGTGGTGGTGATGGTGATGGGGTGTGGGTGGTAGTGGGGTTGGTGGGGGGGTAGGGATGGATTTATTTTTCGGTATAATTATCAAAAATTCTTGTTTTTCTAGGCGCGGAAGGTGTGTCCCTGCCCGGTGACGAGGAGCACGTGTTCTTTTACTCTGTGGTTGCGGTTGTGTGTGGTGGGGGTGGGGGTGGGGGTGGGGGTGGGGGTGGTGTAGAAGGTGGTTCGGAAGGGGGACTGGGAGAGGGGCACCTTAAAACTCAGATCGCATCTTGTGGCTTTATCCGTGCATCTGTACGGCTTTCCGTACACCCTGACGACCAGTTCTAATCCCATTGGCATGTCAATGGAATCGTAGCACGCTGAGCTGCATCTCTCTTATTCATGCATGCTTTGTGTTATATGAGGCTTATTAGAGGCGCACATCTGCTGCTGGTTGCCACCCAACAGCCGTCGCCACCCCGCTGCGTTTGGATCCCCCTTGGTTACCCATACCCGGTGCGCACACCCCTACCAAGTATGTGTGTAAGTAAGTAAGTATGTATGTATGTACCAGGGAATTTTCTGTACTAAAAGACAGCATCGCCTGCGTGCTGCACGTACGTGCGTACGTATGTATGTGTGTATGCATGTGTGTATCTAGATTATTCATTGTACGCGCGATGGGTAAGATATGACAACGGATAAACCGACTGGTGCCGTACAGGCATGCGGACAAAGGCTAGGGTGTAATTGCGATAGCCAAATACACGAGCGAGGACGAGGCCGCACCCAACACCCTCTTTTCCCCCTTTCCCCCCCTTTCCCCCCCTTTCCCCCCGCAAAGGGAGGGCAGCAAGAGGCAGCGTGATAACCAGCTTCCCGTGTGTAGTAATACGCCGCTTGAAGCTGATGGTCCCTGCTGCTGAAATAACTGGCTCTCGTAATTGCTTTTGTGTGTGGAAAAAGGGGGGAAGGAGAGGAATGGAGGTGGCGTTGCTAAGGAGTGCTGACGGCTTTGCGCTTGCGTGCCTGTTGAGCCTTGCCATTTAGTTCGCAGCTGCTCCGTTTGTACGGAAGCTCTAGTGGAAATCTAGCCGCGGAGATAACGATAGCGACTTGATCGATCGCGTAACTGCCCTGAGGGCCTTTCGGTTCTTCTGTTTTTCTGTACGGCGATTTGATTTGTTTATCTGTCTGTTCATTATCTGTCAGTCTGTAGGGTAGTAGTGCAGCTTGGGTTGCTTACGCAGCTTGCGTGTCAAAAAATGTCCGCAACGCGATAGAAAGAACTCTCCGCATTTGGGCATCTGCATCTGTTCCCCATGTGGTGCGATTCGGCCATTTGTTTTGCGGCGCGAAGAAGTTGTTCAAAAACAAGTCGCTTCGCCTTCAGGTACTCGTTGGCGTTGACTCCCAACCCAAAGCATCGCGTGGAGTGCCCGCTTGGATGGATTTGTCGTTCGGTATGTGTGTGTGTGTGGGGGGGTGTCTTATGTGTACAGTCATTATCGTCGTACTATCAGTATTTGTGTAGTGCTTTCAGTAGTGCGGAATGTGGAGGAGGGTAAGTAGGAGCCGTCTGACGGCATTCTGGAAGCTCGCTTGTTCGTCCATCTCAGTCTCTGTGCACGAACGTAAAGGTATTTGCTGCGTCGCCTGTGTGTGCGAGCTGAGTGTCTTTCGTATGCAGCAGCTGCTGCTGCTGCCGCTGCTACTGCTACGATTTCAGCAAGGGCGGGATTGTCCCGTCTTTCAGTATATGAATTTCACAAGACGTGTCTGGCCGCTCTGCCTAGCGGGGGCAGTAGTCCTGGCGCCCACGTAATGGCTCCCCCTCTTACGGGTTGTGACGTCCGTTACGTTGAGTGACGTAACTCCACAGAATTGGTTGGTGTCGTATAAACAACTGTAAACAGAGAACTCGAGGTGCCGTACAGGCGCTTTCATCTGACTCAAGGTACCAAAGGTGCGGGTGAGGAGCTGGCAAGTGTGACGCATGGTGGGACGCCAGGATAATGCGGCCCACTTCAGGACGGGGGCGGCCAGAAGATGGAGCTAGATAAGGCCGCGGATTAGGCGCTGGGCTACGCAGCCCAGGACCAGCATTGTTTGGACGTCGTAGAGCGCCAACAAATGTCAGCGCGCTGTTTGGTCGACGCTGGATTGGCTGCCCTTCGAAACTGTCGGTCAGGTTGGATCCGTGGATCTCAATCCGTTGTGAAAACGTTTGGAGGAAATGTGGAGATTATGTGAATTCTAGCTCTACAGGACAAGTTCTTTTCGAGATTGAAATCCAAGCTCGGCTGTGGCAACATCCTTGAAAGTGTTACTCACGTGGTATACTTCCATTACCTATATATTGTTGTTTACCTTTTGAACTATCTTTTGGCTATGTAATAAACTATTCGATTGAAAGTACATGTCGGAATTCGCTTGCGGGCGCCCTGTGTGCGGGTGTCGCCGTTCACAAACGCATACTTTGCCCATGAAAACGCAAACTGGATGCATATTCGCCACGCATAACTGCACGCTCAAATTACATTTCCATCCTAGGACTTCTGTAACAGCGACCTTACGCTATGGGCGCCATCGCCGTATTTGGTTGCCGGAGTCGGAACCGCAGGCCCCGCCAACAACGGCGATCACTGCTGGATTGCCCTCTGCAATGCAGCTCGTTTCAGCTGCTGCAGCACCCGTCGCCAAAGTGGCTCTTTTTTGCGTCGTGGGCGCCTGGGCGGCCAACCGGGTAGGTAAACCAGGCCAAGGGGGCGGCTTCACAACCGGCAGTACATCCTTTTTTATTGCTCAACCAAGGAAGCCATCAGAAATCACTAAGACGGCGGAGTGGGTACACCAATAAAAGGGATTGCCGGGCAAGCCGGGCACTTGGCTGACTCCTCATCATCACTTCTCGAGAGGACGGGGAGGAGGACGGGAAGGAAGGAGGGGTCCCATGCCCCGCGGCCCGCTCTTCCCCTCCCCTGACCTGTACACCCGGGGCAGCTGAGGCGTGCTTTAGACTTTCGCTTTGTTCATACAATACTACAAGTTGAACATCAACATTCCCGGCCTTCCTCCCCCTTACCTACACACACATAGACGTACATACGCACCACCACACCCTGCCCTGCCCTGTCCTGCCATATATGCCCCACCCCACCCCGCCGCACACACCCCCGCGCTGTCAGGGCGTGCTGACCCCCGAGGGCCGCCGAGTGCTCAGCTCCCTCTCCCTCAACATCCTGACCCCCTGCCTGCTGTTCAGCAAGCTGGCGGTGGGGGTGGGGCTGGGGGAGGTGGCGCAGATGTGGGTGCTGTCCGCCAACATGCTGGTCAGGTGAGGTATGTATGTATGTATGTATGTAAGATGAGGGCGGAGTGTGGTGGGGCTGGTGGTGAAGGTGTTGTGTGGGGAGCGTGGAGGTGGTTGCATGGGGGTTGGGCTGGGGTGAAAAGAACACAGGGGACGGAACAGCCCGCTGGTCGGGGCACACGGCGACGGGAGCGCAGCTCCCCCCTGGAGCAACACGTGGGTGGGGGGAAGCGCGGGAGATTGGGGTCGCAGCTGTTTGTTTCATGAGGGAACTGTGTGTGAGTGCGTATGTCTGTACGTCAGCGGTGGCGCTACTCAGCGACGAGGCCTCGTGACGAGTGCGTTCTGTACCACCCATCATCTATACACACCTACTGCCTCTTCTACCGCTTTCTTTTTTTGATTCCTTCGTGCCTCTTTCTCACCCTTCCCCTTTTCCTCTTCCCCTCTTCCGTCCAAACAGTCACGGAGTGGGGCTACTGTTGGGCCTCTTAGCCGTACGACTGGCGCAGGTGCCGTACAGGCTCCGCAACCAAGTGGTATTGTCGTGCGGTGTTGGTAACGTCGGCAATCTGCCGTTTGTGATGTTGGCGAGTTTGGCGGCGGACCCCGCGCTGCCTTTCTCGGCGGTGATGGGGCCGGAGATGGCGACGGCGATGGCGATGAGGTACGATGCGCTACGATACAGTACGGCACTGTGCTTGGTTGCCACACGCTTTAGATTTCTAGGAAAAAAAATCTCGATTATGGTCATCATCGCGTTGACAGTATCACACGTCCATCACCAGCAGCAGCAGCAGCAGCATCTCCAACAGCATCTCCAGCAGCAGCAGCAGCAGCAGATCAGAGCTCACCGTCATTTCCGAGGGGCGCCCTCTGACAGCTGATAGCTGGCTGACCGTGACAGTGACCTCTTCCCAAAGCGGTGTGTTAAAGTTTTGATCTCGTTTCTGCTGTACGTGAAAGCTTAGGTTGCCGTACCTTTATTGCCGTACACGTAGATACGTGGCGCTGAGCAACCTGTCGGCGGCGCTCATTCAGTTTCCGCTGACGTACATTTTCCTTCAGAAGCGACAAGTCGAGCTGACGTCACCGTCCGCGTCGCCAACAAAGTCAGCGTCATCGACGCCGACGACCTCACCGTCGCCGCCGCTGCCGACGAACACTCCAGGTCTGAGCAGCAGCGGGGACAGCGGCGGCGGTATCCTCACGTCGACGGCGACGGAGGACAGCCCTCAGGGATCAGGTCCTGTCGCCGCCGCTCCCGGTGCGACCTCGATCTCCGCTGCGGCCACATGCCGTACTGCGAATCCGACTCCCGCCAATTCTTGTGCTGTGGCGGCGGCATCGGCGACGGCGACACCGGCCGCTGGTGGTTGGCAGTCTCTGGTAGCTGGTGTATTCACTCCGCCCACGCTGTCCAGTGTGGCGGCTGTGGCGGTGGCGAGTGTGGGGTGGCTGCGAGTGAGTGCTGACGGCCCCTCCCCCTTTTCCCCCCGACTCCTTACATGGTGCCCCCCATGGGTCCACCCCCTCCCTCCTTCCGCACTGCCTCATCCCATTTCCCAACGCGGTTTACCGCGCGGTGTTAGCCTAGGATTTAATCTAGGGTTTACATCAACCCCCTCTCCCTTCCCCTCTCCCCAAAACACACGCATGCGGACACACGCACGCGCGCTCGCATCGTAGGACGCGTTGTTTGGTACGGGCGGCAGTTTGCGGCTGCTGGGGGAGGTCGTGGATGCGCTTGGAGCCGCTTGCATCCCCTTGTTGCTGCTGGTGCTGGGAGCCAACCTCAGCAGGGGTCCGGGTGTAGCGGCGGGGCGGCTGCCGGCGGGCGGTGTCGTGGCGGCTGTAGCCACGAGGCTGCTGCTGCTGCCGGCTGTGTGCGGGGCGGCGCTGCTCATCGCTTGGCGCGGAGGTGGGTGCGGCCCTCAGCCCCACGTGGGGCCATGGGGCGGTATGGATGTGGTCTTGGGGTTCGGGACTTAGGAGCTTTTCGAGTTTGACGAGTTTGATTGCAAGGGCTACATCGTGGGGGCTATGGGGAATGAAGTGCTGTGTGACTGTGACTGTAGGAGATTTTGGTTGTTGTGATTGGATTGGTGTTGTTGTTGAAGGTATATGTTCCAGGGCCCGCTGGCACCCAACCGCACCGCAACCGCCACTATTCCGTTCCGGGGCCTGAGGGCAGCACGCCTCACCCAGCCATGGCCAAGCATCCCAGTGTTGGTGGTCCTAACACCTCTGCACGCATCACAAAGCCTAAGGCCCGATTAGTACCCTTACGCAACATTTGTCGTACCCGTCCTGCTGCCACTCTCTCCCCTCGTTTTCTTTCCATTTCTCCACCTCCGTGTGTGTGTGTGTATTGCCCCTGCATTTCCCCTCTTCCCCCACCCCACGGGCTGGACTAACCGCTCAGGTATGCTCCCCGGGATCGACCCGTTGGCAATGCTCGTCATGCTCGTCATGCACGCCACACCCACAGCCGTATTAGTCCATAGCATGGCGACCATCTTTGGTAATGCGGAGGACGAGGTGGCGGCGCTCCTGTTTTGGCAATACGGCGCGTGCCTAATCACGCTGCCACTGGCGATCGGCGTGATGCTGCAGCTGCTGGGGCCGGCTGCTACAGCTCCCGGGGCGTGGCTTGGAGTGTCTGGACCGGGCCCAGCACACGCCACAGCAGCAGTGGCGACAGCAGCAGCAACAACAGCTGCAACGGCGGTGGCAGCAGCTATGTAGCTGCAGCGGATATGACGGGACGATCTCCTGCTGCAGCTGTTTATTAGGGCAAATCTGTGGTACAATCAAGATTTTTTCTATTGATGCTAAGCTAGGAGCAGGAGGACGACTGCTGTCAAATATCAACGACTGAAGCACCACCAGTTAAAACGACGGCCGTAGAGGTCGGGAGTGTTGTACGGCATGTGTTTGTGGCCGTGTTGTCTGATTTTGATGGGACCGCGCAACCATGCACTTCACCTCGAGGTGTATTCATCACATTATATGACATTACATTCACACGTCGGCGTCGCAGCTCTTGCAGATGAGGAAGTCGTGCCGACGCGGCCTAGTGAGCGTAGAGGAAAACGCAACTTAACGAAGTTAACAACTCAACGAAGTTAACAACTCAACGAAATTAACAACTCAACGAAGAAGTGAAGCTAAAATGTTCGCTCTGACCTTGATGGAGGAAGACAGGCGCCGTCCAACTAATCCAACAACAACAACAGACATGGCTCTGATCAGGCCTGCGATATGTTGTGCATCAAAAGAGACAACTCCATTCACGACCGATATATAAATTTGGTTGTTTGGATATGGCCTAATTAAGCATCATGCGCCACTGCTGCAGAACTCACTGGTGTGTTAATCTTCTATGCCTACACGCTAATCATGATGCCTAACAAGTCATCATCACTCGCATCTGCAGTCCCTGCCGTTCATGTGCGAGCACCCGCACTCGTAGCAGAACTTCCCGCCACAGATGCAGGTCATGCGGTTGCAGCCCTGAGTGCGCTCGACCATGCGTTTGCAGCTTGGGCAGGGCCGCCACTGGTTGCGGGCGGATAGCTGCAGTACGGCAACATCCTCGGCAGAGCGAAGGTGCGCGGGGAGGGCCTGGAACTGCGCACAGGTATAACCCTGGAGCGGACGGAGGATGAGAGGGTGGGGACCGGGGAAGACACAACGTGAATGCAGGAGAAGGGTGAAGGGTGCTTGTCTGGAGACGAGGAAGGCCACCACGGAGAGGGGGATGTAGGGTTTGTACCTAGGGTTTTGGTCTGGACTCAGCTGGCTGCCACGGCTATTTGTCGCAAGGCGCGTAGGGCGTAGGGCCATGCAAGTGTGACAGTGTATCGCGGCAACTGCAGCGACAGCAGTGGTAACGGTGGGGGGCACTCGCGTAGCATGCAGGTCAATTAAGGCGCTACCCCGCCTGTATCCCCTCTCGTAAGACGTCACCTGGTGCCAGCCGGTGATGCGGCAGCGGGGGCAGAAGACTCGCTTGCATGCGGGGCAAGACACGGGTGCATCGGCCGGCAGCACACCGGCCCCACGCAGCCCCACCACCTCCAAGGGACTGGAGCAGGCCTTGTGGGGGCAATACACCATCGCACCCTGATCCAGGGAAGCCTCGGCTTCCAGCTGCTGGTACGTCTGCCACGCAGGAAGCGAGAGACGCGTGTGGCACACACACACACACACACACACACACACATACATACACATACACGTGGTGATACCGAGGAAGGTAAATTTGAATGTAATAAAAAGAAAGGTCACATTTTGTTCAAGCAGCCCTTCCTTGAACATGACACTTCCTCAACACTTAACTGTTTTGCAAGAGGGCTTTGCAATCAGCGGCCTTAATGTACAGTAAGGGATGTGCCCCTCAGGTCCGCTACTAACAAAAATCAGAAGGGTTTCTTTCTTTCCTTTTTTCCTTGGTCTCGCGGCTTTTGAGGTTTACAGCGCTACCTCGTCCAGAGCTAGCTGTTATCTTACGTGGCGCTACGGACAGGATGCGCTGTGCAGCCAGTCCCTCCCGGCAGGCTTGGGAAGATATGTGTGGGAGAAGCCATGTACGTGTGGAGGGCCACGCACGAACGAGCAGAAAAAAAGCGGCGGCAGCCGGCTCTAAGTGCCTCTGTACGACACCACTAACCGTGTGGATGGGCAACTCAGACCCGTTCTGTCCTATTTCCTGTGCACCTGGCACCATCACGCGGAGACGTCGCTATCCCCCGCCCGAGTGTGTATTGCCATGCATTGCCTCTTGCCCTACAAAAAGAAGAGATCGTACGACACCCTGCTTGCCTACCAAATTTCAACATACTGCACGTACATCTGTATGTTCGTCTGTATGCGTTTTGTCTGTATGTATATACATGTATATGTTTGCCATTGCATTTATATAGACACGTTACATGGGAGCGGGCCAATTTGCCGGGCGCCAGCCAGCATTGCGGCCGTGTGCGGCCTGAAGCGAAACACAAGGGATGCAGAAGTTTTTGCGCAGTGCAAACGAACGAGTGGATTTTTATACCCGGCTCCACCACCTACTCCTCGTCCCGGTTACCTGCCAGTGTACAGCGTATCCTGGAAGGACCGCCATGACAGCTTCCCTCGTTAGCACCTGATTGCAACCCTGGCTGGCGCTGGTACTGGCGCTTGCGCCGGCGTCCACGGAGGTCCTTTCACCGCTGTTACTGTTACTGTTACCGTGGTTGTAAGACGAGGAGGTTGCCATGGGGCATCGAATGGGAAACTTGCGTGCACGCACTGCGGAGCGCACGTATTCGGTCAAACAGCCGTGGCAAAAGAAATGGCCGCATCCCCCGCTGGCTGCGGCTGTGGCTGTGGCAGAGTTGACGTTGTCGATGTGATGTCCAGCACATATCATCGCGTGCTGTGGGAAGGTGTCCAGGCAGGCGAGGCACCGGATGGCGGTTGATTCGGACCCGCAGTAGCTGCTGGCCTCGCAGACCCGAGCAGTCTGATTGACGCTCTCTGAATGACCGGCCTCAACTTTTAGGAGATGTAGTACTGTGCTGTGTAATTCAGCCAGCTGAGCCTGCAACTGCAAAAAGTCGCCCTTGATCGCCTCATCGAGATTAAGCTGGGGTAAGAGGCGCGCAATATCTTGCGCGTCATAAACATCCCGAATGCCGTTACAATTAGCTATGTGAATAATCTCGGCCATTAGTGCGTCATGTTGCTCTTGTAGCTCTTCCATTTGCAGTCTCACGGCGACCAGCGCATCCTCAACAGGTGCAGAAGCCGTGGGAGAGGCCATAATTGAACGCTCTTATCACATCATAGTCCGGGTGGGCATCAAAGCAAATCTTAAAAGTCTGATGCTTTTTTTAGTGGTTTTCTCCTTCGACACCGAGTCGTACATAGTAAGTTAGCCGTCACCTCAGGCAAGCCCGGTCTGCCCATACGGGCGGTAGAGCGATGAAAATGAAATCTTTGCTGATCAGATGTATAGATTCCTTATTCAATGTTTTGAGACACTGAGAACCGCTGAGGATGTCAAGTACAAGTTAGCAGTTGCATTTCACGCAGCTGTAACCTGATACCGCTCCTGGCCAGGCGCCTCAGAGCACCCTCCGGCAGGAGCCGTAATAAGGCGATGCACGAGTTGCCCAAGCTCTAAAAGTGTCATTTCGGTCCGTGCTCAGGCTGGCATCATATTTGTATAAAATGCAGCCTCCTGGCATATGTATTCATTTCCAGCGCGGTTTCTGCAGCTATGGCAGTAATTGTCGCTTTCTGCATCAGCAACTCGGGGCTTTCACAAGCGGAGGTGGACGCTTCAGCGGCGCACGATGGACGGAGATGCAAGATGGCGGCGGACGAGGCAGCGGACAATATACATATTACCAGGAGAGGCACCTGCACGTCTCAGCCAGTGCCTTCGTGCGTGCACAGCGGCCGGCCCCCACCCGTGAATGGAGCGCACCCCTTAACGACGCCGACTCGGACAATCAAAGGCCTTCCTTCAATTTTCGTTTCATGTCTTGGAATATCCTAGCGGATGAGCTGGTGGGTAGCCGTGCATCTGGTTCGAACAACGGGCTATCGTCCAGTAAGAGTACGAGAACCCACTGCACCAGGGACCATTCCAAATGGAAAGCCGGTCTCTCCCTTTACACTGTCTGTATAAACGACGATATCTGCCGAGAACGATAAAATAAGGGAGCCGTATCTCTTCCCGCAGTCAGTTTGCCGTTGGTGACCATGCAGACCGGCAGCCCAGCGTCGTTGGTGGAAGAGGGTGTGCAATACGGGGGTTCTTCCATTTCTTGCACCATTGCTAGCAAAGGCAGCCTATGAACCCACATCCAGCAGGGGGTTGACGTGACGGTAAGCTCCTCCGACTGCAACACGGGCTGATATGTGCAATACGACCACCACCCCGACACCCGCCGGGGTCCCCTTCCATCATCGCCACCCAGTTCCGCTCCCCTTCTCCTTTCCACTCCCTCAATCAGGACCCGCCTTCCGCTTTCTCTTTCGTGGCTGGCGCCCTCCCTCCCTTCTTCCCACTCCTTGGCGCGCACATCCTGGAGCCCACTTCTCCCTTACCCGTCCCCCCATTCCTCCTCCAGGCCCAGTCCCACGCCGCGGAGCTGTACCCCCAGGCCCACCACACCTGTCTGGACTGGTCTCGGAGGCTGGCAGCGGTAGTGAGCCACGTGGAGACACACAGACCCGATGTGTTGTGTCTGCAGGTGCGCTGGACGATTTCCACCTTTCGCATATATATATATATATATATGCGAAAGGTGGAAATTGGATTTGCGGGATTCATAACGCCCCACACCATAAACGTCGCGCACACCATGCCATGTATCCTGTATCGCAATCCGCACTCCGTAGCTCTGCGCCGTAACACTTCTTGAACTTCCACAGGAGGTGGATGACTGGCCGCGGCTGCGTCAGGCGCTGGGAGCTGTGGGGTACGACGGTGTGCACCTGCAGCGCACTGGCGGCCGGGGGGATGGATGCGCCACCATGTGGCTGCGAGGCCGACTGCGTCTAGCGAGAACGAGATCTGGATCTGGTGGCACCGGCAGTGGCGTGCACCGGGTTCGCATGGCAGATCACGGCCTGAAGGACAACGTGGCCCTGCTAGTGCACCTGCAGCCCCGTCTCGGAGGCGCTGTAGCTGGCGGCGGCGGCGGCGGTGGCAGCAGTTGCAACAGCAGTAGCGGTAGCGGCAGCGATGTCACGAGCGATAGCGGAGATGGCTCCGAAGGGGGCATGGGCTGGGCCCAGCTCCCCCCCCAAGAGCGACTCACGGGTCGTAGACCCAAGCGGACGGAGAGAACGGCGGCGGCGGCGGCGGCGGTTTCGGGACTGGAGTCCGCGGCCTCGGCCCCGGCCCTACTCCAAACGCAACCAAAGGCACCATTATTGCCTTCACAGCAGCAGCAACGAGAACGGGAACCCGGAAGCGGACACGCCGGCCTCAGGCTCCCCCGGCACCTCCGTCGCGGCTTCTGGGTGGCCAACACCCACGTGCTGTTCAACACTAAACGTGGCGACATCAAGCTGGGACAGCTGCGGGTCATTCTCAGCGAGCTGGCGGCTAGGGCCATACAGCAGGAAGAGGATGGCGCGGGGGAGAAGGGCGGGATGGGGGCTGCGGAGGCGACGAGGGCACCAGGGATGCAGGATGGGTGCCCGACTCCAGGGGCGGCGGCGGGGACAGCAGCGAGGCCCGCAGAGGGGCCAGCGGCCATGCCGGTGCTTTTCGCGGGGGATTTCAACGCGGCGCCGGGCAGCGGGCTCTACCGCTTCCTGCGGTACGGCGCTGTACGACTGGCTGAGGAGGACCGCCGGGAGCTGTCTGGTGAGGGTGGGGTTTTAGGGGTGGTGGGTTTTAAGGACGCGCGTGGGTGATGGGGGGAGGTTTCGCTAAGGCGCCAAGCGATGTGACGTGGGGAAGTCCCTTCTTAGCCCCGGCGCAGGCCCCTCAGAGTCTCGCCCTTGTCATTGCTGCTGCTGCGCACATTACCGTCACCACCGCTGCCGCTGCTCGTGATGATGATGATGACGTTGGCGTTGCTGTTATTCTCCCTTGCGGCCTCCAGGTCAGGTGGAGGGGTACGGGTACACGCAGCTGCAGCAGGACGCGAGGGCGGGGAGGGCCCTAATGCTGACCAGGTGGGGCCCCGGACCCGAGCTCCGAGACCAGCACAACGCTTCCGGGCCCGGAGCTGCAACCACTACCACCACCACCACCACAACAACAATAACAACAACAGCGACTATTACCGCCGCCAGTAGCACCCAGGCGTGGCGGCAGATGCGTCAGGGTCGGCAGCAGTCTGCCGGCTGGCAGCAACCTGTGGCGCCTGATCGTCGTTCGTACAGTGTACGGTGGGATGAGGAGGAGCTGGTTCACGCGATGGGCCGGGCGGCTGTGCTGCAAGCGGTCGCTGCGCTCCAGGGTAACGGAGAAGCGGCCCGCAGTGGTTGCGAAGGCGAAGCTACTGCCGCCGCCGGTGCACGTGGTCGGGTTCCGCCGCCCAGTGGTGGCGATTACCGCAGCAGTAGCGGTAACCTGTTCCGAAGCGCGTCTGGAGGGTATGGGCAGCGCCGTGGAGGGGGGTGGGACGCGCTTTGTCGGGATCAGTGGCATGCGGTGACGGAAGCCGCTGTCGTACGGCATCCCTTGCAGCTTCGGAGCGCCTATGCAGCAGTAGACGAGCAGGAGCGGGAGCCGATCTTTACGACGCTTCACGCGCGGTATGTCGGTACGGTGGATTTTGTGTGGTACACTCCGGGCGACCCGGATTTCGGCGGCGCAGCTGCGCGCGGAGAGGCGGAGGCCCCGGGGGCGCCAGGGGTGGGAGGAAGCGCTGGTGGCGCCGCCGCCAGCAGCTCCGGCAATGGTCGCATTGATGCAAATGCTTTTAGTGGTCATGGCACTGGTACCAGGGGCTTCAGCTTGAAGCCAGTGCGAGTGCTGCAACCGCCGGATCCGCTGTCGTACCCGTACGGCATGCCATGCACGGACTGGCCGTCGGACCATGTATCATTAGCCGTGGACTTCCGACTTACTTAATCTTCGCACAGCGCATCATAGATGGGTTCAGGGAGGGATTTTGTATCGCTGTAGCGTTTTGTTGGAGTACTCTGGATGCACGAGGGAGGGCGTGCTGGAGGGGTTTAGACGGGCGGAAAGTTAGTTGGGCGTTAGTTGGACGTTAAGCGATCGTACCGTCAGACAGACTGGACGAACACGCGTGGGAACGGGGTGTCTGCAATCTGCAATTGGAGCGGACCCTAAAGCGGCCTGTGCGAAAAGTGTGCATTAGCATGGAGCCACTGCTACACTGTATATATCGGCCTAACATAGGTTTATCTTCACACATGTACGTATTGTCCATCAAGCGGGGCTACCTACCGGGGGGTTACGCTGGGATGAAGTTACCCGGCCATCCCAGTAGCTAGGGCACTCAGCGATGCTGTAAACCGCCAGTTACCCTACCTAACAATAACTGCCCATAGAGTTGGTTACTGCGCTGGTTCTGCTGCGGGAATATGCCGCATGGTAGCGCGTCGCTCGTACAATGTACCAGCAAGATGATTTGGGGACGAATGTATAGCATGGTGGGCATCATGAACTGTATATGTGGCCGAATAAGTATGAGCGTGGTTATGTCGAAAGTCCTGGTCGAGACTCGAGAGCACTGTGGTCGTAAGCATCATCCCCAGTATCTGAACCAGGTAACTAAAACAATGGAATCCGGCACAGTATTCATGCCGGAATTCCACACTGGTTGCGAGTCGTTAAGAAAGCAGCTCGGACATTGCGTGCTCCAGCCCCATGAACAAGTGCTCCATTGCGTGCTCCAGCCCCATAAATATTGCTGACATCGCACCAAAATTATCCTGCCTTTACCTGCCCCCGTACCGACAAATTCTTGCCGACCGCGCCGACCCGGTTCTTCCCGTGCATTTTAGGGTAGGGGGTCCACAGCTGGAACTCCTCTTCTTCGGTGACGGACCTAAGCTGGTTTCTTACTTTCATTTCCCTAACCCCAAACGCTTCTCCTGCCACTCATGCAAGGACAGCGTCCCCAAAAAGAAAGCCTGGGTACGAGCATCAGCATGCGCAACCACGCACATGCCACATCCTCGGATCCCCAGGAGAGGAAGGCAGAATATGATTTCCTGCGAAAGTTACATCGGCGTGAAGAAATGTAAAGGGGCGTTGGGGGTAACCGTATTTGGTCAGGCTTCTGCTTGCGATGGGCTAGCTCATGACGAGAAAGTATGCAATTATTAGAGCTATAAAATACGTCACAGAGGCTGAAAACAAAAAACTGATGGGGGAGCTAGTCATGGTTGCGAGGCACGAACGAGTGGCTGTCCATGACGCCTTACATAATTGCATGCGCCACAGTCCATGCAGGATAATATATACTTTTCTGCAAGTCGGTGTCACCTATCGTTGTTACCCTAGTATTAGAATATGGAATGATATAGGATTAATCCTCAACTTAGCTTGCGGTGGCGTTGGCCAGAAGACGCCGTAAACGAAGTTTCTGTTTTGTCATAGTCCATACCACTTAGGACCTTGCAAATATAAGCTTCACTAAGCTCACGCCGCACGCGTGCATATAGTCATGGTAGAAGCGGGTGGCGGGGAGGTTGTGGGCACGCCTGTGAAGGAGACCACGGCCTCAGCTTCTAAAGCTAAAGCTAAAGCTATTTGGAAGGACAATGGAAAGACCAACTGGTTCCTGCGACTGTTTTTTTTTGATGTGGACTCCCTCATTTACACCGGCTATCGGAGAACGCTCGAGCCAGAGGATATGTGCCCCGAGCCAGCAGTCAACACAAAACTCCTAATTGATTTGCTTGAGCCAGCTTGGAAGGAGCAGCTTGCAAAACCCAAGCCGGACCTTAAGCGCGCGTTGCTGCGCGGGAATGTTGGGTACCTGCTTATCACCGGTCTTCTATACGGCATAAGCCAGGCCTGCTCGTTAGCTGGACCCTTGCTGCTTCGTCGTATCGTCACTGGGCTGCAATGCGAGTCAGTGCAGCGCAAAATGCCGCCTGGCGTCGACATTGGTTGCGAACCCCGGAGCAAGCTGTACTAGTAGGTCCTCAGATTTGTACCGATGTGTCACCATCGGCATACCACCTCAAAATTGTGTGCATCGCGAAATAAACACGTTAACTTGAAATGGATTGCAAAACTTGCTGAGCATGTAAAACACCATAGGGTGGTACAGCATGGGTGGCTAACAGGGATGCACTGGCCCCACGCGCTGGAACTTTCTAATTCCGTGCATGATCCCATCGAACCCTTTTGCCCTGAACAGCTACATCATCGGCCTTTTCTTGGCGCCTGCCATCCAATCGCTGTGCGAGAACCAGCAGATGTATCTGCTATACCTCACCGGCACCCGGATGCGGAACGCCCTTATGGCGGCCATCTACCGGAAATGCCTGCGGCTGAGTAACGCTGCGCTTCAGGTACGTCGCACAGCAGTACGAACAGCCATAAGGGGCTTTCTTGTATCTGGCGCTTTGCTGCTGCTGGCGTGGTGGCGTCGCTGCCACCACCCGCTGCCTCCATCCACACGATTGTTGGGTGGGCTTGCTTGGAGCGGCAACTGGACCGCGGATGAACTCGATGGTGCTTTAGCTTTTCACATGCAGACCGGGGGGGACGTATTAGATTTGCACGGTACCCTGTAAAAAGGGGCCCCTGGTGGGGCTTTGCTCGGGTCTACTGGCCCTTACTACCCAGATGCAAATGCCGCCCCACCGCCCTCAGCGGCTCATCACCTCCGACCGCCCACCGGTGTGCCTTTCTTTCGGAGAGCCGCGTTGGGTTCGTTAACGTGTGTGTGTATGTATGTATGTATGGAGTGGGGTAACACCGCTCTGCGCACTTGGTTGGCAACGCTTTGTGAAAGCATGCATATTCATCCTTGCACGCACACACACGCACACAGGTACATACGCGTGGGTGGAAGAGAGATTGTGTGTGTTTGGGGGGGGGGAGGGGCGCCCCAACGGCTGTGTCGGTTGCGACGCCATTAACGTGGAGGAGGTTGGAAGGTCGGGAGGGGCTGTCGTCGGCCAACCGCCCGCCCACGGCCCCCCATTGGTATCCGGGCATGCAGGTGCCCCATTGAAGGGGGGTTATGACCCTCCAGGGGGGGTTGCCATGTATCTCAAGAGGGGAGGGAAGGGGAGGAGAGGGGACGTTTGCGATGTGATTGAGACCCGCCACCCTTCCCGCCACTCTCCAGTTCAGGGGGGTGAGGGGACGTGCAGCCCGGGCTCTTGCCTGATCTGGGTTCTTCTTCGATCGAGACCATTATTTTGTTCCGCGGGCCCCCACAACCCGCCTCCCCGTCCAATACACACAGGACATTGTTGCGTAACTGTCCCGTCACCCTGCCACCCACTTTGCTCAACCTGCCTATCCAGCCGCATATTCCCGCACCCCCACCTTGTTCTGGTGTCCCCACCCCCTCACTAACCCCCTCAGGCGGAGAGCACGGGCAAGGTGGTGACGCTCATGAGCAATGACGCACAGAAGCTGCAGGTAGGGGTTATGGCGGGGTCGGCAACCTCTCTATTTATGAATTATGTGTGAGACCCCATCTCCCCAACGGGTGAGTGCTCCGTACACTGTGTACGCGCCCACCGGAGTCGGGATGGAAGGTGAGAGCTGTTGGTCCTGGGTTTAATGTACGGAAGATTCGCAGTACGACAATTGGTGCCTTTTCCGGAAGTCGTTACATAATGGCGGTTACGAAGAGGCGTGATCTGCTGCTCACGTGACCTGCAACTGATCTGGGTCACCTGCGGATTTGTTGTCTTGACGACGTAACCCAGTTTTGAGTAGGTTCGTTTTTTGAGCAGTGAACCCATTGCAACCCTCTCTTACTACACACCGTTACGCACTCACGCACTCACTCGGACGCCCGCAGGACGCCATGTTTGCCATTCACGCGATGTGGGGCAGTCCCGCCTACATCATCGCGGTGCTGGTTCTTCTGTGGTTTGAGGTCGGCTGGGCCACCTTTGTGGGCCTGGGGGTCATGCTTGTCATGGTCCCCATGACGGGTGAGGCGGCGGGGGGTGGGGGGAATAGGGTGGGGTGGTGGGGGGAAGTATGGGTGGGTGGGGGGTGTCACTGTGCACGGGGGCATACACATGTCTGGTGAGTGGGAGGAGCCTTTGGATGATACGAGGGGACCCTGGGGGAGCGGTTTGGCGGTTAAACGGTATGGTTGCGGCGATGGTGAGGGGGGTAATTTGCACGTGGGGTGAGCGAGAGGTGTGTATGTGTGTTCGTGTGTGTTGGGGGGAGGGGGGAAATATGTCTTCGGGGATAGGAGTGCAGATGATGAGTCGAGGGAGGGAAGGGGGGCGGTTTGAGGTGGGCTGTGGATTGGGGAATTAAGTTCAAGGCGGGTTTCTTTGTGCCTCTGGGAGAGGCGCCTGGGGGATGTGACCCCTGTGCTTGGTGGCATGATGGGCTGCGGGATTGCGGGAGAGGTGGGGCGCCAATGTCCGTCGGTGTTGGGTGTGAGGAGGAAAGGAAAAGCTGCTGTCGCACATGTGAAATGTGTTCGCATGTGCTGTTGCGCTCGTTTGCTTGCACACATGGTTGTGTGCCTAAACAGGCAAGTTGGCGGCTAAGCTGGGTTCGTTCCGGCGAGAGATCATGCAGTGGACGGACAAGCGGGTCGGCCGCATGAACGAGCTCATTAGCGGAATCCAGGTGGGGGGAGGGAGGGGAGGAGGCGGAAGGGAGGGGGGGGAGGGTGAAGGGAGGGAGGGAGGTGGGGGGGAAGAGAAGGGGGGAGGGAGGGTGCAGGGTGCGAGGAGGGTAGGAGAAAGGCTCGCTACAAGGGTTTGGATCTGCAAATGAGGGAGTGGGACGAGACAGATCATGCAGGGCACTGAGCCTGTCTTTACACACGCCCACAATCCCCTCCTCTCCCACAACCCCGCGCGCTGTGCCCGGCGCCGCTGCCACAAACACCCGCAGATGATCAAGTTTTACGCGTGGGAGGGCAGTTTCCGTACTGCCGTACAGGAATGCCGCAGCCAGGAGGCCACCATTTTGCGGCGGATGGCTCTGTGGCAGGTGGGGTCGCTTACCTGGTCTTGGGTGGGTGCGGTGAGATGTCGGGGGCTGTATGGTGTTGTGTGTGTGTGTGTGTGCCCTTGCTAATTTTAAAAATACAGGGCAAATTTACTTTTCTTGACGTTTCTTAGTCACTCAAAACTGACAATGATTGCGGTTCATGGTGCCTCCACATAGCGTCATGTCGTGCTGAACCTCTAGCAGCAGCAGCGCCACCACCACCACCACCGCGGTCGCTCGCCATCCGCATGAAACTCATTTCCCATGTCCCATGTCCCTCACCACCCGGGTGCATGTGAGGTGGTGTATAATGTGGTAGCGCGCTCAACGCGGTAAAGTGGCGCTTAACATCCTCGCAGGGTTATTTTGGTCTGCTGCTGTTCTACGGCCCGGTGGCGGTGGCCCTCTTCACCTTCGGCTCCTACGCCATCGCGGGACAGCCCCTCAGCCCCGCACGCGCGTACACGGCCCTGTCGCTGTTTTCATTGCTGCGCTTTCCCATGTCCTTCTTGCCCATGGTGGGTAAGGGGGTGAGGGGGGAGAGGAGGGGGGAGACGTTCTCCCGGATATTTGCAATACATGTGTGTGGGGGGGAGGGGAAGATGTGTTTGCTTAACTTTGGAGGGAAGGAGGGAGGTCTTAAGACTTAGTACAACAGGCTTTTTGAGCTTCCCTATTTTTAAACCGTTAAACAAGTCGCAAGTGGGAAGAATTTATGTACATGAAGAATTTGGCGTTTTGAGGTACCGTTTAATGCGTGTTAATATGGGTGGGGGGTGAGTGGGTGAGCGAGTCATGATATGGCTGGGCTGGGGCGGGTCGGCCGCCAATTGATTACCCTAAATCCAGGGGAATACAAAACAAAACGGTGTTGTTGTGGTGGCGGTGGGGAGCGATATTTCGGGAGGAAGGGTTACGGCAAGCCCTCCGCCGTACACCGAATATATCATCGCACTCTCGCACGCAAGACACCGTACACTGCCGCATGGTCGTACACACGCAGCTCGTCACCATGATTATCAACGCGCTGGTGGCCATTAAGCGTATTGGCGAGTTCCTCAAGCGGGAGGAGAGCGCGCTGGAGCCGGTAGGTGGTGGGATGGGATGGAATGGAATGGGGGTTAATCCGAATCAGGTTTTTTTTTCCTGTGTGTATGTACGTATGTATGTGTGTAAGGAAAGAAATTCAGGTTTTTTCAAGGGAATCTTTTCTGGCGCGTTTTCCCCCTTCTCAATGCCCACCTCCTTCCTTGACCACCATTTTAACCCGTACCGCTTCCTTACCCCCGTTCCCAATGACTCCCCCACTCCCCCACTCCCCCGCTCCCCCACTTCCTCAACTCGGGCGGCAGTGGGATCCCGCCAAGACACCCGCCGGTCTGGTGTCCGTGTCTGACGGCAAGTTCAGTTGGGATCCCGCAGCGGAGCGACCCACCCTGTCCGAGATCAACTTCACCGCCCGCCCCGGCAGCCTCACCATGATAGTGGGCGGGGTGGGCAGCGGCAAGTCGTCGCTGTTGACGGCGGTGATCGGCCACATCGGGCGGCTGAGTGGGGAGGTGCAAGTAGGGGGCCGGATCGCCTACGTGGCACAGACTGCCTGGATCATGAACGACACGCTGCAGGTGGGTGATGGAGACTGGCTGTGGTGGGGAGTGGAGTGGAGGGGAGTGGTGGGGAGGGGAGGGGAGGGTGTGTGGGGAGATAGATGTCCCCCGGGGTGGAGTTTTAGGGGTTTAGGCGTGGAGGAGGGTACAGGGGAGAGGAACGTGGGTGTTGTAGTGTCGAGTGCTGACTGCAGGGTATGGGTGTTGTCTAAAAGATAGGTGCTGTATGTGCGGTGTGGATAGGGCGGGATGGGGGCTTGCTTTTTGTTGCTTTGGAGTTGTAGTGCTTCTTGCAGTGGGAGTTCAGGAATTCATTTTCCTCGCAACAGTTATCAAAACCCAGGCCGTGTTTTGTTGTTGTTGCTTGTTGTTGTTGTTGCTTTGTTTTGTTGGTTATTTATGCTCCTTTTTCGCTTTCCTCCCTTCTCCCCCCTATAATCAAATAACTGTTCTCTCCCTCCCTCCCTCCCTCCCATTCTTTCTCTTTCCAGGAGAACGTGCTGATGGGCACGCCTCTGGATCCCGAGCGCTACCGCACAGCTCTGGAGGTGGCCCAGCTGGGTCCTGATCTGGCAATACTGCCCAACGGCGACCTCACGGAGATCGGGGACAGAGGGGTGACGCTGTCGGGCGGGCAGAAACAGCGGGTCTCCATCGCGCGAGCTGTGTAAGTCTCGTGTGCGTGTGCGGGCTGAAGGGTCGGTCTGTGTTGGGGGGGATGGGGGGAGGGAGAGGGGTTGTGTGTGTGGGGGTAATGGGGGGGGGTAGGGGGGGAGGGCGTGGGCTGGGAGAGAGGATGGGAGCTAAGGCTGGTGCATGTAAGGACTGGTGACATTTTGCAGGGACTGATTGAAATGGCTGCTCTCTGGGGCGTATGTAAAGCGAGAGGGGGGGCTGGGTTCGGTGTTGGGCGCGTGTATGGGGTGGGCGGGGCGTGGTTGGGAGGAATTCGGCCTGGTGCGAATGTGTAATTCCGGGTGTAGCTTGTCTCGATGACCTTGTGCCAGTTTTGGTTGCCAGGAATATGTACGGGACGTACGGGGGCCTAGGGGTACTGGACTGGACTGCACTGGACTGGTCGGGCTTGTGGCTTGGCCCGCGGCCTAGCTGTGCTACGAACGGGAGGGAGGGCGGGTCGCGGCATCCCGCCCCACCAAAGCAAAAGCCGTTTTCGTTCCAGTCGTGCACGTCCCGATGTCCCGAACACCATCACCATCATCATCATCAGCAGCAGCAGCAGCAGCAGCAGCAGCCTCACCCCACGAGGGGGGTTCAATTACCCGCATTCCTATGCCTAATCCTTTGCCAACTACCTACTTGTTTTAATGTAATTTTCCGCATTTCGTCCCACAGGTACGCGAACGCTGACGTGTATCTTTTTGACGACCCCCTATCGGCCGTGGACAGCCACGTGGGCAGGGCGTTGTTCGAGCAGGTGCGTCCTGGTGTGGGATTGGGGTGGTTGGGGAGGTTGGGGTGTTCGAGGAGCCGTCTTCTTGTTGGGAAGGAGATAAGGCCAGGACTAGGGCCAGGACTGCGTGTCGGCCGCACCGCCCACTTCACACTGCTGGCAACAGTTCCCCGCCTGCTTACACACCCCCACCCGCATATCCGCGTTATCCTCCTCCCCTTCCTCCGGCTCCCGCAGGTCATTCGCGGCGTGCTCCGCTCCAAGACCGTCCTCTTGGTGACCAACGCGCTGCAGTACCTGCCCCAGGCGGACAACGTCATCTGGATGGAGGAGGGCCGGGAGAGGGCGCAGGGCACGTTCGCGCAGCTGCAGGAGGCCGGTGAGAGCGCGGGCCGCGGGAGGGGGGTAAGGGGCAGTTGGAGGGATGGCGGGGGTGGGCTTTCCCCGCATGCCCACTTTACGGCTCGTAGTCTAGGGCCTTGGGTGCAGGTATATAGTGGTGGTGATGATGGGGGGGGGAGGGACGGCTTGGCGGGCGGGACTTGGGAGTTGGATGGGAGGGTGGGGAAAAGGCGAGTAGGACCCTGGTGCATGAGCGGTACGTGGTGAGGTACTCGCCGGACCACCGCCGTGCACCTCCCCACCCCCCACCCGCCCGGAGGTTCTCGGACCCCACCTCATCTACCCGTTATTCCAAACCCCGTCCGCTCTGTTGCTCCCTTGGCTTTTGCCATTTGTACTCCCCACCCCCGACCCGCCTTCCCTGGAGGCCTCCTCAACCCCTTTTCCTAAGCCTCTTTCCCGCACATCCCCCGCCTCTCGTCATCCCTAAGTCACCGCTGGTCAGTAACTTACAAATTCTATTCCTGCAGGCAGTATCTGTCTGTCTCTACCTCCGGTACCTGCCTGCTTAAATCGTCAGTGACTTGTTTTACCCCCCTTCCCCGCTTTCGGAACCCAGGTCTGAACATTGCACAGTTGTGTTACGACGACGATGACGACCAGCACCAGCAGGAGCGGGGCAGCAATAAGAACGGTAATAAGAAGGCGGCAGGAGCAGCGGGAGCAGGGGGAGCCGACGATTCCGGAGCCGCCGCCAAGGGCGGGAAGGAGGGGGGCGGTGGGACTGGCGGAGACATGAAGGGCAAGATCACGCTGACTCGGCAGGCGACGGACGCCAACCGCAACCTGACCGGAATCGAAGTCCGCGAGTCTGGCGCCATCAGTGGTGACGTCATCAATCTATACTTCAATGTACGGCCGAACGACACGGGATAGTGCGGTGCGGTGTGGTGTGGTGTGGTGTGAGGGGGCAGGGATAATGGCGGCGGATTCCGTTGCTCCCCGCAGTCTGCGTGGCGCCTCGGAACTCACCCCAACCCCCAACTCCACTGACATAAACAGCAAGTACATCGGTGTGTACGCCCTAGGGCAGAGTGAGAGTCTTGGCGGCTTCGTGCTCGGCTTTGGTAAACCGCACGGATTTTATACTCACGACGACAAAAATCCTCAGCCCAGAGGATTTACGTCTTATACATTTTTTCCCACGTAGCCCTAGTACCGCTCATTGCCCTAACTCAGCTTTCCACCTTCCGACTCCGAAGCCCCAACCTCCAACCGCCAACCGACCCTAACTCCTAAGCCCCCAAATGGTCTGTTGGTGTTCTGTCTTCACGCCCTCACCATGGCATGGCATAATCGGCAATTGGTAGTAGACGTTTTAGGCTTCACATTGCATGATCCCCCCACCAGCTTCGCAACTCCCCCCTCTCTTCACTGCGTTCAGGCGGGTGGCGGCTGGCCGTACTTCATCCCCTTGTTGCTGATGTTCGCTCTGGAGCAGGGCGCCCGAGTGTATACCGATACTTGGGTTGGGAATTGGTTTGGGGACAAGTACGACAAGACGGTGGCATTCTATCTGGGAATCTACTTCATGCTCGGTGTCGTGTACGGCATTGTCACGCTCGTACGATCCATCACGTTTTTGTTCTTTTGCGTGCGGGCCGCCGTGTCGATTCACAACCAGCTGCTGGACCACATCCTGGCTCTGCCCAAGTCCTTTTTCGACACCAACCCCGCGGGTAGGGGAGCGCGTGTGTGGGGTGGGAGGTGTGTGGATGTGTATATGTGGGGGGGAATTTTGTGTGTGGGGGTGTATGGCTGTTTGTGGGGGTGTGGTGACGGTGTGTGGGGGTCATGGGAGTATGCGGGGAGGAGGGAAAGCGTGTGGAGGGGGGGAAACCACAGCCACCCAACCACACCCATCAACCACTCAACCACACCCACTTAACCACCCAACCACCCAACCACAACCCCCAATCGACTCCCCTTTCAGGCCGCATTCTGAACCGCTTCTCGCGGGACACAGACATCATGGACGCCACTCTGGCTGCCTCCCTCATCCAGTTCGCCGGCAGTGTGGTGACCTACGTCGCCATCCTCATCGTCATCACCATCGCCACACGCTGGTTCGGCATTGCGCTGGTCCCCCTCACCGTCATCTACTTCACCATCCAGAGGTGGGTGAAGAGGGGGCTGGCATGGCACCGGGCCGAGAGGGGGGAGGCTGTGTGTGTGTGTGCTGCTGGCACGTCGAGAAGGGGTGAGGGAAGGCGTGGGGGCGGGGTGGCCATGTGCACTTTTACCTTCCATCCACCCATATTCCCACCTCCGCACATCCTCCATTCCCTCCAACTCACACACACACACACACACACACACACACACACACACACACACACACACACACACACACACACACACACACACACACACACACACACACACACACACACACACACACACACACACACACACACTACCAAGTATTCCAGGCACGACGTTTCCCACAAGGGGGGTGCAGCTTAGATGCGGTGCGGTGCGGCACGGTGGACTTCCGGCCTTCATTTTTTTTACCTTTTGCCAATGTGTACATCCTGACAACAATAATGGCAACAATAAAACACATCGTTGAACATCATCAGCATTAAAACCCTAAGACCAACACCCGCACGCCGGCTTGGCACAGAGCCGCTCTTACAACCCTTCCCTCCGTTTATCTCGGGTGTATCTGCTTCAATCGACAGATCGTCAGTGGTTCGTCTTACCCCTTTCTCCCATCCATTCCTTCGCCCTACGCCCTACTCCCCCAGGTACTACATCCCCGCAGCCCGTGAGCTTCAGCGTATTGAGTCCATCTCCCGATCGCCCATCTACTCGCGGTTCGCTGAGGCGCTGCTGGGTGTGCCCACCATCCGCGCGTACCGCATGGAGGCGCCCTTCACCGCCCAGTCGGACGGCCTGATGGAGAGGAACGCATACGCGTTTGTGACTCAGAAGTTGGCAGCCGGCTGGTTGGCGTGTCGACTGGATATGTTGGGTTTGGTGGTGCTGACGTTGGCGGGTGAGAAAGGGGAGGAATGTCTACGATGTGGTTGTTGCTGTTGTTGTTGCTGTTGTTGTTGTTGTTGTCGCTTCTGCGACGGCTCCCGTTCTCATATGCGTGTTTTTGCCGTTGTTCGTTCCTGGGCCTGGCTGGCCCTACAACCCCTCCAAGAAACACCCGCACGGTGATCCAATGGGACGCCGATGGCACTCAGTTGATCCTTTGCCGGATGATTCTCCCATCCTGTCTCTTTCCCTCTCATCCCTTTCCCTCCTTGTACGTCTGGTACACTCTTTCCCTGTCAGCAGCTTCACTCGTTCACGTGGGGTTCGTCTTTCCCCCTCGTGCCCCTTCCCCTCCCCCCTTCCCCTCCCGTCTCGCCAGGTGCGTTGTGCATCCAGGGCGGTATCGAGCCGGGCATGGCGGGGCTGGCCCTGATGTACGCTCTGGACCTCACGCGCTTCCTCAAGCACGGCACCAACATGGCCTCGAAGAGTGAGGCGGACTTCAACTCCGTGGAGCGCATTGCGCAGGTGAGGGGTTGGGAGGGGGGAAGGGGAAAGGGGAGGGCTGTCACGCGCGTGATGTGTGTGTCTGTATGTCCTGGGGAGGAAAGGGTAGGAGGAAAGCTGGATAAGAGTGGGGAAGGTGAGGAGGGTGGGGCCTCACATTGTGACTCACATTCTTTTGGGGGGGGGGACCATGTAACCCGGTGGATAGGGGGGAGCAAACAGGGGGGTGTATAGCTAGCTGAGTAGAGTGTACGTCACCTCCTGCTTTCCTGATGGCGTATTAGAAGTGTTCCTGAACAAGCAGACCTGAGCCTCACTCGTCCTAATAATCCCCTGCGCCGCCATGGCCTCTGCCCAAACAGACACTCTCTCTGGACTACACCGCCTGCTTCGTTAAATAAGTTGTTCATTCAGTACCTTCCTCACCAATTCCTTCTCGTAGCTCAGATTATTGAGACATATACACGCCCTCACACGCCCTCATGCAGTACCTGACTCCCGAGACGGAGGCTCGTCCCGACACCCCGCCTGAGGTGGCCAAGCTGCTGCCCTCCGATTGGCCCTCTGCCGGGGTGATAGAGGTGGAGAAGCTGTGTATGAGGTACCGGCCCGGTATGCCGCTGGTGCTCAAGGGAATCAGCTTCAAGGTGGCCGCCGGGGAGAAGGTGAGAGGATGGCGGGGAGAGGGTAATCAGGTGAAAGGAGTGTGTGTGTGTGTGGATGAATTGAATGCTGGTGAGCGAAGGGTGCGTGGGTGATTGGGTACTTTCTGGGGGGTGGATGGACGGGGGGTTGTGCGCACGAGTCTGATTCGCGCCGTGCCTTGCCGTGCCTGGTTGTGCGAGTTGGCGGTTCTCTTAGTCGTTCATCTTGACACCCTCGCTGCTTGCTCATCCCTCCACCCAACTCCCGGCTCCCCCACCCCCGGCTGAGTCCCCCGGCTTGATATCCGGCGGTTTTCCTCATCGCGCAGTAACTAACTGCGGGTCAGCCAGTAAAGCTTACCGCGCGCACCCTCGTCCCGTGCCACCTCTCTTTCCCCCGTTCCGTTTCCCTCGCATTTCCCTCACCGCTCTTCCCCCCGCTCCCCTCTCCCCCCTCCCCCCCCCCTTCTATCCCACCCCGCTCCCAGGTCGGTCTTGTGGGTCGCACCGGTAGCGGCAAGAGCTCCCTGCTGCTGGCGCTGTTCCGCATGGTGGAGGCGGAGAGCGGCGTCATCTCCATCGACGGAGTCAACATCGCCACTCTGGGGCTGCGGCACCTGAGGTCGCGGATGAGCATCATCCCGCAGGACCCCTTCATGTTCTCAGGCACCGTACGACACAACCTGGATCCCTTCTCCACCTCGACAGATGAGGAGCTCTGGAAGGTGAGTGGGCTCGAGGGCCCGGGGTCCGGATGTCCGTGTGTGTATTTGTCGGGGTGCCTGCGTGTGTGTACACGTGTGTGTGTGTGTGTGTGTCTGTGTACGTGTGTGTACGTGTGTAGTTCTTGTGCTCCCCCTCTACACGTGGCACCCGTGGGGGCCGCGTCCCGGCCGTGTTGTATTCAATTGGGCAGCTTTTTCCATTCCCTTGGGTGCTTCCCCAGCTTCCCTTCCCCTTCCCATTTTTATTGTTCTCTCAATTGAACTCGACTCAACTCACCTAACACTGCGCCTCTTCCGGCTCTGAGCCCCCTCCTGACGCTCTCCACCTCCTGGCTGGCGGTTTGGTGCCTCTTCAGGCGGTTGAGGCGGTGGGTCTGAAGTCGGCTATCTCGGCTCTGGAGGACAAGCTGGGAGCCA